AAGCTGCGTGGGAGAGAAACTGAACAATCCATTTACAGATCAAGCTCTTGCGAAGGGGAAGAAGTTTTTTTTCTGAGGAAGTGCCACAGAAAGTTTGTAATAAACTCTTTAAATGCATAGGTGCAGAGTATCAGCAGCAGCTGTTCCCTCTTTATACACCTGGAATCTTCACCTTTATAAAGCAGAGGTCTGTCTCTTTTCAATAGTTTTCGTATACATCAAAAGGAAACAGTAAAGATAAGGAACGACATTAAACTGGAATTCGGCTACAAGGGCTGTAGGGCAAATTTCCACAGCGTCCTGTCACTGTTCTAGGGTTCACAACTACATATGCCAAGAGAAATGGCCGATCATTAGAAGGCAAGCCTAATTCTGCCTGTTTTCATCCCACATTCTGCATATAAAATAAACAAACAAAAAATCATGCTGTCTTACAAAACAATATAAACAAGCAAATGTTATTCATTTAACAGACATTACACAATTCCTGTGTTTCATATATTTTCACAAATACATTCTAATTCTTAACAATCATGCTGCTGAAAAATTGCCCACCTCACTTAACAGACATAGACATAGAAACTATCAGCCTGTCCACATGGGTTCCTTGAGGGTATGGATAATATGTTACTTGACACTGCAGCCCCAAGGCGTAACAACCAGCCCACATTAAACTCAGTAAATAAGTAAGTTTTGGAATAAATGAGTATATGAATGAATAAGGTACAATTAGGCTGATGTTGAAAAATGCATAAAATTGGAATAAGCAGAAACAGGGAAGTGAAGGTAGAAAAATATACCACGGTGAGGGGCTGCGGGGAGGGGAACCCAGCATGTGGAAATGCATATTACCAGAGAGAGACAGGCTTATAAGCATAGATGATAACAGTCATTTGAAAAGCTATTAGGAAAAAATAATCCAATCTCCTTCTTTCATAACTTGTGCTTATACCTAATTCAATTCACAAATCTAATACTGACATGAAAAACCCAATGCCAGTAAATTACTTTGTCAGAGTCAGAAAAATATAGACTTCTGACTGCAAAAACTTTTATATTCTATTCAAGATCTATTTGTTTCTGCATCCCTCATAGTCATCTTCACACTAAGTGACTTGAGTCAGCAATAATTAGACACTTCTGAATTCAGTTTTGATATGCTCTTAATTTGTTTTGAATGATGTAAAAATGTCAACTCTCTAGAATCTGAGAGCAATCACTTACAGCATGCATATGTTGGAATTTATTCTGCATTGTATGCCAAAGTGAAGAAATACAAATTCTGTTTATGTTTCACAAACATAACTGTTGACAAGTTGCTATGAAAAGCAGATATTGACTCTGTCATTACTGCCAGTTACTCATATCTGAAAGGTTCATAGGTTAGTATGTATTTTCCTTTCCTGATAACATAAATGTATAATTTTTATATAAATATTTCCTTCTGAATTATCAGGAGCAAAATTTAGTGTAGGTATGTTTTTAAATTTTAAATTCATTAATAATAGTTTGATCTGTCTTCTATGTGTGTTAGAGGTATATAAGAATTGGTTTTTTTTTTTAATCTGCCATGCATTAAATTTAATTTGGTAAAAGGATTATCAGAACTCTCTTAACCAAGAGCATCTAACATACTATTTTCTTGATTCAATTCTTTTTCAGGTCTCCCTCTGCAACAGTCTCACTTTGAAATATATATTACCGTTCTACAAAACACAGTGTGTGTTAGATTTTGGAATCCAAAACGATGTTTTATGATGCTCATTATGTAATGATATATTATTATCCCTACAGGCAGCTCTTGGATCCAGTAAAGCAATATGGTGTATCACATCTAATGGCGCCCTATTATCACATCGAGGGCGCCATTAGATGTGATACACCATATTGCTTTACTGGATACACTCCTGGATTATCATTTGGAGTTGCCAGAGACTATAACTTAGAAAATTGATGAGAATAAAATAATCTTATAATAAAAAAATATGAAAATGCTGTTTTCAACTAGCTATTTGTAGCTTTCAACCTATATGGAAAGTAGAAAGTTCATTTAGGAAGAAAGACACACTTAACTATTTGGACTCCAAAGAATTGCTTTGTAAGTCTCAAATTCTGATTCAGTGGAAATATTACTGTGTTCCCTGGAGAAACTCCTTCCTTGGACATTAAGACCTCCAAGTCCATTGAGCCCCAGGTTGAAGGGATAGGAAACACTAATTCTTTATGTAGGTTATGCGGTATGATAGTGACAGAGTCACCCTCTGCTTTATCCTTTAGTCTCCAGTTCCATGCATTCTAAAAACAGGAGAGACAGCAGTATCTGCGAGACAGCTCTACCCATAATTTCCCAGCCTGTGAAATCTGGCTGTGAAGTAGACAGCACCACATATAGCCAATTATTTTAGACATTCATTGCATCCTGTCAGAAAGCACTCTAACCTCGTAGGGTATTGTCACCCAGACAGTGCCATAACTCACCATTTAGTAGGCTATTTCATTTGATTTTATAAAGGCATATATAGGTAGGTGATAGAGACATGGTAAAACCAAAGAATTCGGTGAGCATGAATCCATTGTCTCACTTCCTTCTCTGTAAAATGAGTTCCTTCGTTGAAGGCAATGTAATTTGTGATACCATAGTGATGAGTAAGGCTTTCTGTACAAACCTGAATGATTGTATAGAGTATAGACAGAAATACTGTAAACATAGAAGAAAATCCATATGCCTAATAAAAATCTATATTCATGAGAAAAAAATGTCTGCCCATTTCATAACAGAAAGGCTCCAATATAATCAACCAGTCACCAGATGGTCAGATGGTTTTCCTGAGGAATAATGCCACTTTGTGGCTTTTTATCGGCCTGTGTTGTTGGTAGGTTAGACACCCAGCAGTGGCAGTAGCCAAATCAGCCTTTGTGAAAAAAAAATATCTGTGGTTAAGCCCATGAATAAGCTCCATCTCTACTGTCATAGTTACTTTGTAAATGGACCCATGGAGTAACCACCAGAAAGGATAGCAAAAGAAGCTGGCTGACATCCACAGGAGGAATTATCTTGTCCATCTGAATACTGACAGCTTCTTCTGCAGTGAATGCCACCTGGAGCACAGTTACCTAGGCCCTGCCTATCCACATGCATCTCCCCCGGAACTCCTTATCACCAAGTTTCTAGCATGATTCTTCCCAGGTCTCTTTTCTCTTCAACAACCTTTTAGCTGCTTCCCGTGGATCTTTTTAAATTTATAATAGCAGCCATCTCTCATCCCACACAAAAAAATGTACCACCTGAAATTTTTCCTTCTGATAGAATTATCTTTATCACTGCCTCCTATGACCATCTCGTGTGGAGTTGTAACAGTGACCAGCATAAGACCAAAAAGCAGATAGGAGAAACCAAGGGAATGCATACCCTCACCTCTTTCTTTCAGACTTCAAATTTCCTGTCCTACCCTCTCTGTTTTACTCCGTAAGTCTTCCATTCCAGCTGTTTCACCCTTGGGTCAACAGGGGAATTCTAAAATCCTTTATTTCCCCATCTCTGGCTATTTTCTTCTCACTGCCTGCCACCCCAACTCTCCCTGCTACCTCCCCAGCCCTTCCTTCTCTGAGCTATGGGATTCTCCCAAAGCGTCTTATAAAATATCTAGCCATTTACATTCCAGTGTAAACCTGCATTTGTCTGTGTTAAATTGCTGGAGTTTATCAGTGATCAGAATGGTCCTCAATCTAGTCCCACCTGTAATTTATTGTTTAGAGAGGTACCAGATTTGTCTATGAGACCTTAAAAAGGACTACATTCTGGCAATTTCCTCCTGGATGTTTACTTTCTTAACAAGTGCCATGTGCTGTGCTTTGGCCAAGTAAGGAAAAATTTTAGATATCCTACAAAATGTGTTGCTAAAATGTTGTCAAATATTTAGATGGAACAAATATTTAACTTCTAAACTTCACTAAACTTAAGAGAACAGCCTCATTAACTGCTGATTGGAATTAGAAAAAAAAATCATAGGTATATATAATCTTTATGTATAAAAAATCTTTATGTATATATAATTATGTTCTATGTGATAGGGGGCAAAATATTGCTATTTGAATTACAGCTTTTCACTTTTAATTCTTTCTCCATCTGGATACTATCTATTTAGCCCTCCAAATCTACTCTTCCCCCTTACATACTCTTTCTTGCTCTTTGCCTTGAAGCCATAAAAATTTTGTCAACTAACTCCTACCCCTTCTGCTTTCCTTTTGGGTTTGGCCAGTGGGAAACCCAAGCAGGAGACTGGAGGAAGGGAGAAGTATGAAATTGAGTATTTCTCTAGTTCATGAGATTCCCCTATGCCTGGCTGGCTGTTCCCTTCACAGCTAGTCACTGATCCTCTGTTATCTTCTTTACATTCTCTCTGGGTTCTCAGACTTTCTCCCTAAGTTCATTTGAGACTAGGGAGAGATGGCCTGTCTGATACAGGTCCTGGGTTCCTGCACTATTATTCCTTTAGTTTCCCTACACACTACCCACACCTTGTAATAAGGCCCTTTGTAAATAAACTCTCCTTGGCTTAAGCTATATTGAGTGTGCCATCCATTTCTTGTTAAGACTGATGGGCAAACCATTGTTCACCACGGTAGGTCCCTAACATCTTTGTGGTCAAGGTCACTCCTTTAGTTTACTGGAGAAGGGGGTTCTTACAGTTTCTTTAATCAAGTTTATTCTTCTTCCAGAGTTTCACCATATGCCACAGGGAGTATTTCTTGCATATGATAATAGCTCCAGAATGAAAGATTTGTGTTTATTTACAAATAGTTTAAATTGTTTTATTGGGATTATGAAAAAGATGGAAGGTGAAAGCAGACAATAAACTGCAAAAATTCAAATGTATGTACTAAAATATAAATTCTCTTATCCTACTTATAGAAGTTTTCAAGAAAGAGCATTTTATGTTTCCTCCCATCCATATACTGATTAGCTTCCTATAACTACATTTTATCTAAAATAAATAATGTGAAAGTTAAGTCTAGTTTTTATTTGGCTGTTAGATTTTAACTATAATATACTTGAAATTTTTTTTAATTTAATGTGAAAATATATTTTAAAATGTTTTCTTTACTGCAAAATATTAATTTCAGTAACAAAATTGCATTTCAATTTAGCACTAACTTCCTAACAACAAAACACATAGAAATGTTTTCTCTTCATAGAACTCAAAATAACATAAAAAACAAAAAACAAAATCAATAAACAGATCAAATTCCATTTCCACACTCTGTGACCTCTGTATTACCCTATTAGTAGTGAACAACATACTGATCATCAAACAAATACTCCTGGATCATCTAAGGAGGAGGCCTCTGGGATTCTATAATCTTAGGTGTCGTGTCTGAGCGATATTTCTGTCTGATCTCATCTATTTCACCATCATCAAGTATAAATGAAGCCAGCACTGGAATCTGAGAAAAATAGTTCTTAGCCAGGATATGTTTGTGTTTGATCTTGTGAATAAATGAGCGTTCATATCCCTGCAAAGAAAAAAAATCAAATTCTAGTAAATATCACAGATACATTTTGCCAGGTAAAAATATTGTCATCCCTCAGTGCCTTTGCTTGTCAATTCTTTCATCCCAGACTACATTTATTTTTCTCACATTGTACATCATCTTTCATGACTCAGCTCCTATGATACACCTGGAAGTTTTCCCCAACTCTCCCTCTGACTTCTCTAAGTTTAAACCACTGCTAGTTACAGACTCAATATTCATTCTCTCTTCCATTTGTACTGGAAACCTGATTTTGTATAGGGTGTGATGTGTCCAGCTTTCTTAGCCTTTATTCTGAGGGTGTCTAGTTAGAATATATATATAATCAATTATATTATTAATGTTATATATATTGAGGTTAGAAAAAACAAACATAACAATATAACAAGGAAAGTGAGAAACTGTTACCACCAAGAAGAACCTAAGGAGACACGACAACTAAATGTCTTCTGTGATTATTTAATTATATATAATGTATATAACCTTATATAATTATTTATTTATTTATTTATTTGAATACAGCCTTTTAAAGGAACTTTTAAGAGTGGGAAACCTCACCTATCAAGCACCTTTAGCTTTTTGCCATTACTGAGAGGTACATGTAATGAAGAAGATGATGCAGCTATCCTATTACTAAGAGTCCACCAAGCATGAAAATGAAAGCTGAAGATTAAATATGGCTAAGGACAAAGTAAGACAACCTGTATTTCTGAGAACAAGGTGGAGCCACCATACTAGCCCCAAACTGCCAACCTTTGAAATTGTTACATAAGAAAACTAGACCCACATTTGATTAAGTCATTATAAACTGCTTATTCTGTTCTTGTAGGTGAACCCAAATGCAGCTGAGACAACAAAAAATGTTATATTCATTAAATTTCCTTGTTTCTCTGTAATTAGTACAGTATGTGGCACATTCAAAAGTAAATTCTGGTTAAATTAATAAATACAATCTATTACCTATTAATCTTAATTGGCCCTCTTTTCAATCAAATCACAAATACTACCTGTACTTCTTCCTAAAATTTATTTTCTGAGAGTAAGACATTCCTTCAATAAAGGTCTCTTCAGAGGGTCATATCAAAGATAAAAGAAAGCCCTCACTGAAAGGACCAAAGGAACAGAAAGCATTATATAGGAGTATTCTGGGCTTATTTTAAAATTTCTTCTTAATGGAAAAATTTACTAGGTTTAAGTAGTCATCTTTTGAACTAATCTAACTTTGTTTCTACTTCTTAGCCAATACTTCATTCAAGAAAAACGAAAACACTTTATTATGCTATATTAACTTACATATGTACAGGACTTTATAGGTTTTCAAAGTGTCTTTACAGAACTATAAATTATTAAAGTTGAGATAAATTATGATATATGTGTTCAAGGGACTAAAAGATAACTCTTGAATAATTGAATATTTTCCATATTGTATTATTTATATCGTTAAGTAAAGCAAAAAAACTAATTCTCAGTCATTTAATATGAAATTCATACTACAACAAAAGTATAGATACTTATATACACACAGAAAACTTCCAGAAGGATTTCAATAGATTATTATATACATAAGAAATAGTAATTACCATTGCAATGTGGAGACAGGGATGGGTGAACATCAGGAGACCTTTTTTTCCGCATTGAAATAGGTCCATTCTCTTGAAATAGCCATGTGGTGGTTTCAAACTATGTCCACAAATTATTTAGGTATACAAATAGTTCTAAGAATATTACAGAAAGGTCCCATATACCCCACACCCAAATTTTCCTGAATGTTTCTCAGTCTGGGTTTATCCTATGTTTTCTTCATTATTAGACTGAAAGGATGCATTTGGGGGAGGAAGACCACAGAGGTGAAGCATCCTCCTCCTCACATCATATCAAGGGTACACACCATCAACATGACATCACTGCTGCTGTTAATATTAATTAGCTGGCTGAAGTAGTGTTTGTCAGGTTTCTCTACTGCAAAGTTTAACATACTCTTTGAAAAGAAGTTATTATGCACAGCCCACACTTAAAGGGTGGAGAGTTATTCTCCATCTCCTTAAGAGTAGAGAGTTATCTACATAAATTATTTGGAATTTTACATGGGAGATTTGTCTATTTGCCTCCCTTTATTTATTCATTCAATTGTTTGCAAAAAAAAATTTTAATTGATAATACTTGTACATATTTATGGGGTACATAGTGATGGCATGATACATACAGCATGATCAGAGTAATTAGCATATTAATCATTTCAAACATTTATTAGTGTTGGGAATATTCGATATGCTTCTTCTAGCCATTTGAAACTATTATAGTTAACTATAGACATCTTACAGTGCCATAGAACAGTACTAGAACTCACTCCTCCTATCTAGCTATAATTTTGTGTCCTTAACAAATCTCTTCCTATTCCCCCAACCTCCAAGATTTTTACTTTCTACAATACATTCTTTTATTCTGTTCAGATTCTAAGCCAATAATATATTGCTTTTATTAAAATTAAAAATAAATAAAATGCATCAAAATTGTTAAAGTGTTTTCATAGTTACTAGGTAAGTTGACTCTTGCCAAAAACTATTCTGAAAGTTTTAAATAATGGTCTACCCAAAGCTTCCCTATGATCAGATACCATTAACTTTTTTTTTATAGATGAGAAAAGAGGATCATTGAGACATTCACAAATTTGCCCAATTTCTCCCAGCTCGTGAATGGTAAAGCTAGAACTCAGAGCCAGCGCTGCTTTTGTCCTCTTTATTGATTCCACGTATTTAGCTAATCTTTCTAAAAATTTATGAAGTAAAGAGGGCAGGTTTTCATTTCCTGTAAGTTGTTATAACTTACAGGAATGGGGATAGGGAATAATGGGTCAGGATTACTGAATTTAAGTCCATGATTGTTCCTACTTTGGCCAATGTGCACACAAGGAGAGATCAATCTGCTTCACTTAAAGTTCACATAATGAAAGTATCTTTCCATGTTTCCTATACCTGTGTCATATTAACTTTCAAGTATTTGTTTTTTACTTCCTGAGAAAGCAAATATCTCTGAACATTAAGAAAATTCTGAAAATGTTCCACCTTTCTGCAAGATACAAACTAATCTTTAACTAGGCTGAAAATTAATAGTTAAAAAATTATATCAGCCCAAAACCATAAAAAAGGCAAATGTTCTTCCAGTTTGTCTGGTTGCAAACCTTGGCTGTCTTTACAGAAACTTGATAAGCCTGGCATTCTGGAATTAGAAATGCATCTGAATAAAACATTTAATTGGATACTGCAGTAATTTGATTAAATGCACAAAGGGAGTTGTGTGGATTAATTGAATATCAGCTTTGGGAATGAACTTCAGTTTCATCATGGGTCCTAGATGAAATGATATTGCTAGTATTGGCTATGCTTCCTGTGATTAAATATTTATGAGGCAGCTTAGTTTATTAAATATCACATTTAATACAGCTTCAACTTATTGCTACCTTTTCTTTCAATCCCTAGGGTGAAATTTTTCCTAGCCTGGTTTCTTAAAACAAAATTTAAAAACTAAAAATTTACCTACTTTCTTATCTTTATACATCACCCCTTGTTCCATTGGAAAAAAAAAAAACAAACAAACAGGGAATCACACTATTTTAAATAACTATTGTATTCTGTCATTTCTTTTGCTTTCCCTGACATCTTATATGGAATTAAAGAATATAGAGAATCAGTATTGACTCCTGGGATCCTGGGCTTAGGGTAAATGGAGCTCTCTAGGAACTCATCAGGAGCCCCTCAATTTACTCATCAAAATGTTTTTCAGATTGCATCTTTTAAGTTACTAGAATTACAGTAAATGGCATTTAATGTTAATAGTGCTTGCTCCACTCCCAGCAAGTTGGAAGCAAATGAAAAATGAATCATCAGAACTATACCCCATCACTATGATTGCCATTTAGACCACAAAATTATGAACAAAATTTGGGAATTGGGTGTTTTTAAGTAGACTCGCGATAATTAATCAAAGAAAGAAAGATTCTGGGTTCCATAATACCTATCTGGTGGTTATGCTCATTTATTTACTCAACAAATACTAACTCCATTCTGTGACAGGCATTATTATAGGTATTAGAGATACAGGTGCAAATAAGCTGAACAAAATCGCTGTCTTCATGGAATTTACTGTGGAATGTGCTTAAACTTGCTATTAGGAGAGATTGGTCTATTTAGGACTTGTGATATGTTCAAATCTCATATATATACCTTTTATTTAATCTGTGCCATATAGCGTCCATTTTTTTTTTTTTGCTGTTAATCCATAAATTGTTTCTTAATCTGATGGAAGTACTTAAGCATGGAATATAGTAGAAGGCTGTCAAGTTATCTCTAATAATCCCAATGATTAGCTTCCCAAATAAAGTTCAACTTTCTTACCTCTTCAATACTTGTTAGCTTGAGATGAGCAGCTGCTTCATCTTTGGTAAGAAGAATACAGTTCCAGGGGGACCACTCCAGGGATTTATTCCATCTGACCATGGCCAGATCACTGAGATTGTCCCAGGCACTGAGCACTGACTGGGATGCCCAGATGTTCTCTGTCAGGTACTGAATATCTTGCAGCTGCATGTCAAAGCAAGTTTTTTTTAAAAAATGTGGTTTTCTTTCAACCATAAAATTTGTTTTTTATAAGATTATTATATTATTCTTTTATTATATTACTTGAGGAAATAATTAAATTATAGGGTATTTTTGAAGTGAAATATTATTCACTAGGTTTCAGTGGCACATAACCCCTTAGTTTTCACTAAACTTTTGTTCATTCTGCCTAAACTACATTATCAGTCTCACAGTTTTGTCCCCATCTTTAAACTAGAGTAAGCAGTATAAATTTCTTTCAGTATGCTAATTTTACCTTAATATAATCTTAATAGTACTTAGTTGCTCAACTGTACTAATAATTTTGAAACTGTATCATAGAGAATAAAGTGTCTATTTGCATGTGAATGTCAAATGTGCACATAAGTGTGGTTGGCAGTCTCTAAGAGTTTTCTACAAGTAGTCATTGTACTTGAAATTTTTGCAATAGAGCAATACTATTGCCTGTTATATTAGGCAGTATCTGTATGCACTACAGATAAACAAGGTAACTGGTACAACACTCAGAATCTCTTGTCTAAGCAGAATGTTTACTTTTCATATATCTTAGCTTTCTCCTTTTCATTTTACATATCATCTTCACCTTTAATATATGCTAATCTTTGCTGTTGTCCACAAGATTTACTGTTTTATGGGAATATTCACACATTCAAATTATGCCTCAAATACTATTACTGAAATAAATATTAATCAAAATTACACCCAGTACAAGGGGGAAGCTATTGGACACTAATGTTTGTCTACTAATTCTAGACATTGTAAAAGTAATATAAGAGAACAAAACCCTACACAGGTACAGTATTTAAATCAAATCACATCTAATAGAGATTATCCTTATCTGAAAGGTTACAATGCTCCCCTAAAATTCTTTCATCCAATATCTGTAATGGTTGATCTTACGTCAACTTGACGAGGCCGCAGGATACCCAGATAGTTGGTCAAACAGTGTTCTGATGCTTATGTGAGGGTAGTTTTGGATGAGATTAACATTTAAGTCAGTAGACCGAGTAAAGCAGATTGTCTTCCATAATGTGAGTGGGCTTTATCCAATCAGTTGAAAGCCTAAATAGAACAAAAATTTGACCCTGTCCCCGAGTAAGGAAGAATGTTCCTGCCTAATGGCCTTTGAACTGAGATATTGGCTCCTCCTGGTTCTATAGCAGCCTGGTGGTCTTCAGACTTGAACTGGGCCATCAGCTGTTTAGGTTTTAGACTTACCAGCCTCCATAATTATGTGAGCAAATTCCTTGTAACAAATCTCCTTATATGTATATATACAGCATATATGTATAAAATTTCCTATTGGTTGTGTTTCTCAGGAGAACTCTGGTTAATACAATATGGAATATTGAGGTAGCACTTTAGATGACTTATAATAAAGCCATAGTAAATCTAAGATTCTTTCGCAAGGAAATATATATCTGTCATGCCAACAATTCCTGGAGAAAAGTGCCAAATAAGAATTTAAGCTGAAATAAACATATTTATTAATAACATATTCATTATATTGGACAAAATATGTAATCATTTTAATTTGTGTTTTTCAAACTGTGGGTTGCTACCTCTTAGGTGATACAAAGTTTTCCAAATGGAAATTAGAATTAGTAGATTGGGATTGTATAGAAAACATCAGAGTGCATCCAAATGGGTAAAGATAAACACTATTTTGGAAACTCTTATTTCTGAGGCAGAACAGCATGTGTTTATATGCATGGACACTGGGGACCAGACTGCCTAGTTTTCAATACTGGTGCTGGTACTTAGTAACATAAATTTGGACAAGTTAGTTAACCTCTCAGTGCTTCACTTTCCTCATCTGCAGAATAGAAATAATGCCTATTTTGATAGGATTTTTGTGCTGATTAACTCAATATAAGTGTGTAAAGCCATATAGGTACTAATTGAGTATTGAGAATTATCACACATGTCTATATCAGTTTGTCATAAAAATACATTTTTACTACTGATTTAGAAGAATTTGGAATTTTTTAACAAAGCACATCACATTTGGAATCTATTTTTTTAATCTCTATAAAGTTTTCTATTCATAGTAGTGCCTATTTTCCTTTTTAGTATTAAATACAATTTAGTTAATTAGTAACTGTAATTTACAGAAAATTTGACCTTATTTGACAGTCTGTGAACACAAATATCATTAATGAGATAAACAGCGCTCTATAACATACTTTTATTAATAAGTTGCTAATGTTGGTAGCATATCAACAATAAGTCCTTCTCTTTTCTCACTCCCTTACGTAAGTTCAACCAGTGTCAAGAATTTATTTTTATTTTGTAGAGATACAGACTATCCACTGGCCTAAACAACCCAATAGAAGTCATGGAATAACCAAAAAGATATACAGGGAATACCAAAGTAGTAGTTAAGTTAGGAATTCAGGTCAGAGTTCCTGTTTTCACAGGCTCCACCCTGTCACAGAGCTAGGAGAAGTTCTTATGAGAAGTGAATTACTGATAGAGTCAATGATCCAATGCAATGATTCATCCAAAAGAACCCTGGCCAGAAACTTTCCAGTTGTGTGATATCATACCAACCATTTACATAGACAAGTATCCACTTAAAGCCCTTCCCTAAGGTTTTTTTTTTTCTTTTACTTTTTATAAGCCTTAGCTCTCACTATTGTGGTGTTATTTATCATTATGGTCACATTCAGTTTACACTAATTATTACTGTTATTCATAAACACTAGTATGTGTATATGCAACATCAGTTTCTGTAAAAGTCAATCATTCATTCAACAAATATTAAGGACCTTAAATAAAACTTGGTACTGTATTAGCTAATAGAGGTATAATGGTGAGCAAGAGGGGGGAAAAAGCATACTTCTGCCCTCACAGAGCTTACAGTCTAGTGGAATAGTCATTAAATAATCACACACACACACACACACACACACACACACACACACACAAATATCATAAGATTGCAAGATAGCCTCCTTGACAAGCCTCAACTATAACTGGCACCCCTGATTGACCATACCTGCATCAAGAAAGCAATTTTAGAATCATCTTCGTAATCAGCTTCTGTATAGTAGAGCTGTTGAAGTAAACATTTGTACTTCAAAAATGATTCTCGTTTTTGAGCCTCATTCTCAAGGCTAATGCAGTTACGACACCGGTATATGTGACGTGAGGTGGATGATACAGAAAACTCTGTAGAAGGCAAATAAAGTTGGCAACTGTGGCAAAAGTAAATCTTCTTATAAAATTTCAATGGATCTTGAGGGACCTACAGAGTGAAAAAAAAAAAATTGTCTAAAAGCTAGGCCAGGTCAAATATGATCCCAACCAATAGAAGCACCAAGGGCTAACTTATCTTAGAATGAGATAAAAGAATGGTTAGCTAATTTACAAAATTATGTTTTTCTATTAACTTCCTATTCTGTACAAAATCTAAATTTCAAGCAGTATTTATTCATCCTGCCAAAATACTGAAAATCTGTTTTTCATCAATTCTTAGATATTTGTGGTAAAATCACTTAGAAAATTGACTGAAAATTGAAAGAGGTTTTTATTTTTAAGAAGAGTTTAGATTTTTTTCAGTGCTACATGGCATTCGTTATTCCTATAAGGCAACAGCTACATTCACATAGAAGTAAAAACCCACTAAACCAATTGTTCTTCTCATTCCATTTATCTTCAAAATAAATCTAGATTAGTTCAAATTATTAATATTCAAAGTTTGAAATTCTATGTCCAAAGCAGTAGACAGAAATTAATTCTACCATAAAATAATCAATCCAGTCCTTCATTATGGGCTAAAGTATCATGAATGAATGAGTGAATGGTGATCATTTCAACACAAACTGAATCAAGACATATATAAGCCAGTCTTTCCTAATTTATGGTACATCAGTACCTCTGGCTTCCATGAACGTAAACATCAGCAACAGCATTTGCACGTGATATCTAATACTTTCAAAAACATTTTCATAAAGAAGGAAATGGGCATCAATATTCTATAACATTTTTTCTCTTACTCAATGTGGTTTTAAAATATTTACCATTATAGGGAAGACCCACTCAGGTGCTCCTCTCTTTCTGCAGGAGAGAGAGCTCTTTTCTTTTTCTCTTTCTTTTGCCTATTAAACCTCCTCTCTCAAATACACACACACACACACACACACACACACACACACACACACACACACATATTTACCATTATAATCCCTTCTAATGTTTTACTTTGTTCTGAACATCTGTTACGCTTCTGAACCTTCCCCTTCTACTGTGCCTTACTTTTCCTAAATACTCCATCTTCCCAAAGGGTAATATTCTTTAAAAGCTTCTTTGTCCCATACCTTATAATTTTGGAAAATAAGACAATATGTAAATTTAAAAGGTAGCAATTGTTTCAGAGAAAAGAAGAGTGATCTAAGGGTATGATCAGAGATCCAAAAGACAACTTATCTGGGTTTTCTTATTCTGAGATTTACACATTTTGTTTATCTTGAATGATTATTTTCTTGCCTCCTAGGCATTAATTTAGCAAATATATCAGTTAACCTCATGAAAACGAGTTAGCACACCTCTCCATTATAGATGGATAGACCATTTATTATAATGCCATGGAAAATACTCTCTACTGATCTGAAATTGTGCAAGAAGTAAGATAACTCATTCTCATTATGAGTATGATGACAGAGGGCTTCATTTAAGCTACAGAATTTAACTCTAAGAATTCTCCAGAGTACACTGGGTGCTTCATCCTGGCCTACTCCCAGAAAGTGGTTGTGGGGGTAGTGGTGTTCCTTCAAATTCTTCTCCCACTATGCATATTAAAAATGTGTAAATGAGCCATTTCTTTTTAAAGCCAGTAACTTTTCTTTTAAATCCTGTAGTTTGAGATATTAAAGAGTATAACCCTGCAAAAAAGCAAGTACAGGATAATCCACAGATTTGTCCTAGATTCAAGAAAATACTTTAAATTCTTTCTCTTAATTAATATATTTCTCATATGCTGCAGGTAGAAATGCAACATGGTACAGTCAGTTTGGAAAAAAATGTTTAGTAGTCTCTTTTCAAAGTAAACATGCATTTACCATGTGATTCAACATGCCACTTTCTAGGAATTTACCCTAAAACAATCAATTTACCCAAAAACTCATATCTAATGCTTATAATGACTTTATTCATAAAAGATCAAAACTCTAAACAATCCAAATGTCATACAACTGTGAATGGAGTTTTAAAACTCTCTTGTGTATCCAGATCATTAGAATATTTTTCAGTTATAAAAACAAACCACTGACACACTCAAAAACATGAGTGAATCTCAAATGCAATATGCTAATGGAGAGAAGTCAGTCCCAAAACACTACATATAGTATGATTCCATTTATATGACATTCTGAAATAGATAAAACTATAAAAATAAAATACATATCAGTGTTTGCCAAGGATTAAGAAGTTGGGGGAAGGACTGACTACCAAGTGGCAGCATAAGGGAATTCTGGGGGGTGATAGGACCATTTCTTATTTTGACTGTGCTATTGGTTACATGACTCCATACATTTTTCAGAACTCACCAGAAAGAGTAAATTTTACCAAAGGTAAATTTTAAAATAAATAAAATGATAACATTACATAAAAGTGTAGAACATAAAACTCTATCGATTGTATTACTCCAAATATAAACTGAGTAAGTCTATAGAGAAAGAAGGTGGCTTGGACAAATTAAACACTGGTTTGAATGAGAAATAGCATAATGGGAACCTTTTCTCCTGGACTTTTGTTACACTTTAATATTCTTTTTCAATACACTCAGGTTTTTAAAAATCAATTTAAAAACATATAAAAATTAAACAATATTTATCCTTCTAGTTTTGACTAAGTATTGAGATTATGTTTTTTTTTTCCAAAAAAGCTAAAGATGTTTAGTCAGCTTTTTAAATAAATTTTAACTGAAAATAATCATCGAAATAAAACACTATAATTCTATGACAACATTCTCTATCCCAAGAGTTTTACTAATAGTGTTTTAGAAAGCTCTGCACAGTAAGAAGGCAATTAAGCATTTATCTTGGCTTTCGAGAGCAAAATTTCCACAGAAGCCTAACGACATTGGAGTTGGAAAAGATAGTTTAATTCAAATACGTTACATTTGAAATTATCTCAGGATATCCATATGGATCTGTTGAGTAATAATTATAACTATGTGATAAGAGTTATAAGAAACACAAGCAAGGTATAATGTAGATGCTCAGAAACAAAGAATTTAACTCCGTGTGAGGCCTCATGAAGGAGAAGAGATGAGAGTTGAGTCTCAGGAAATGAACAGGAATTGGTTGGGTAAATAGTGAATAGCATTCCAGGGGAAACCAACAGTATGTACAAAGCCATGGAGGAGTGAGAAATCATGATGCAGTCAACATAATACAATATTCATTTGGAAAGTTGGCTAAGAGATTAGAAAAGAATTCAAGGTTGGAAATATACAGATGTCAAATGAGTAAGTTTAGTTTAGTAACAGACAAAATAATCATTCCAAGGAGATACCACCAGTAAAATGGTATTCCACATGAACTCCAAGTAAAATGTTAAAGCAAAATTTGAATATACTTCAATTTGCTATACCACATCTTAGGATTTTGAAAAAGGAATACAGAGAAAAAGGTAGAATACCTTAAGGTATTTTGCAACTTGAGGATTAAACAGAGGTGTTTTGATATAATGAAAAAAGAGTGTCGCAATTCTTTTTCTGAGTCCTTCAAGGTTATGATGTTTGACTCCTCTCATCATAAGGTCAACCTCTCTGTCAATCAATTCTAGAATTTCCTGAGTTAGTTTACATTCATGTTCCTATACAAAACACAAAAACATATAGTATAAAATTTTCCAATTACTAAGTTCATTTGCAAAATTACCACCCAAACTAACCAAAATCTACATTCCAAAAGAAATGAAACATTGCTAATAGTATAAAGTGATACAACTAATTTGGAAAAAAAACTGGCATTATTCAACATACTGGAGTTAAAGACGTATACAATCTATGACCCAGGAATTCTACTCTTAGGTGCTTTAAAGAAATCTGCACATAGATCTCTACTGTTCACATTAGCTGAAAATTAGAAAAAGCTAATTGTCCATAAATAAATTGATTGCATTAATAAATTATGGCTTATTCATACGATAAAATATTATCTAATATATGGAAATAAATGAGCTATAGCTGTATACAACAAAAGCTTAAATCTTACAAATTAATTTTAAGCAAATTACTCAAGGCACAAAATAATAGATATAGTACAATTTTGTTAAATAAAATTCAAGAATAAGTAACACTAACCATATTATTTAAAAATTTATACAGAGGTGGTAAAACTATGAAGAAAAATCAAGAAAATGGCTACCATGAAAGTCAGTATGGTAGTTACTTCTAGGACATGACAAGAGGAGTTATAATTCAAAGGGAAAAGGGGACACCAGAAACATTGACAACATCCTGTTTCATATATGTTACACTGTACATACATATTTTATTCATTTTTCTGTATACTTATTAAAGGTCACAATATTTCTTATAAAGTAATAGAAGTGAGTGTGGTTTTGAAAAGGCCACAAGTAAGAATTAAGTGATCAATATAGAAGCATTTATAAGATCCTCCAGCTGCCCAAGGGAAAACTAGGAGATACACAGTTTGAATGAAGGCGTCAGAAGATAAAGTCATACTCTAGACTCTTCAAGTTTAGAGATCTTAATTCCCGGAGGAAAAATGTCTCCAATGTACGACACAGTGCAAGGCCTATTAACTCTGAGCTGCAACTAATGCCTAGGCTCTGTAGGCCAAAAGACCTGCAGGCAAGGCAAGTGTTTCCTTGCTTATAGAGGTAACTGACTCTGATCTTCAAAAGGCAATGGTGCAGATATTACCCAATAGGGACAGGGAAGAAAATGTTTGGGACCCAGATAATAGGCATTTCTTGGCATATCTTTGTCTCATTTTGACAGTAAATGGAAGTCTGGTAGCCTCAGTCTGAGAAAAGCAGAGTGACCAGTGGTTCAGACCTCTCAAGGTACAAGTCAGTCCAAAAAGTGGGCCTCTTAGACCAGTCAAGGTGCTAGTTGAGGGAGATGGAAATCTAAAATAGACAGAAGAAGGAAACCATGAGTATCTCTTGTGGCCTTAAAGCCAATGACTACACTGGGGGCTGCAATGTTTCCTATTAACCTTGCTTTGGGGCCTATATAAATCCGGAGGAGCTACTCCTAAAACCTACAACATGAAAGTGGATCCAGGCAGCAGTACGTGTATTCTCCCCATCCTGGTAGATCGTTGGCCGACAACTCTCAAATTATGCTCTTTCTGAGAATTGCTCTCTAATAAAGAGAGTTATCTCATTCAAAGTCATGCCCTGCTGGAGGTAGCCATCCAATAAATGATCAATGTGGGAATAAAATGTCCTGGCCCCTTGGCTCAATTCAGGACAATTCTGGATGGCCTTTCCAGTTTCAGAATTCCCCATGACATTGGGTGAAGCCATTGTTGAGACTCTACCACAATTTCATTTGTCTATCTGTCCAACTCTGCTTTCTTTACTGCTTCACAGGAATTATCCTGATAGCACTCTCCAATAAACTTGTGAACATAAACACCATCTCTGAGTTTGTTTCTTGAGAAAATTTGATCTGTGACATCCCCTAACTTTGTTTTCATTAAAAGTAGTATTAAAAACACAGAAAATCAATAAGTGATGAGAAAAAAAAGATAAAAATACAACGGTGCTGCTTTAAAACTGCTAAAAATAATTTTTTTCATTGAAAAGTGTCAAAATATGTAGATTATAATTGCTATTTTATGTAATTAAGTATTAATCTCATACTATACTGCATATATTTGCATTCACTGCATAAGATATGTTGACATTCATTATGCTATATTTACACATTTATTATGTATTACAACATATTTTGAGAACTTTTAGGTAAATATTAATGCATAAACCATATCCTTCCCAAATTATACCAAAACAATTCTTAATGTAAAACACTTTATTTGTTTTAGTATTTCATTAATTTTTTTTATTGATAGTGAACTCTACCCCCAAACTAAGAGAAAGTTAACATACCTTTACAGTGTGTTTAAGAGTTAAGAGTACATCAAGCCTCTCATCCTGAGAGATATTTTTCAGCATAATGCACTTATAGATATTTTGCAGCTCTCTGGCTCTGATGGTGAACTGTGTATCCATCTCAATTGTTTTGCCATTAGGCGTTCTCCATATTTTTGGAGCTGAACACTTAAAAACAATATTATGTTCATAATTATCAGTTAATTAGAGGCTACAAATAACTTTGTTCTTTCTACTAAAACTCTAATATCATGTGCTTTATGACTAAAATATCACTAAAGCTTAAGAAAATTAATTTAAGAATTTGAAGAGCAGGCAAAAGTAAAATATTTTAGAAAAAAACAAATATGAGACATAGTTGTTCAGTCTGTAGAATTTCACACACTTTTACAATATTCAGGATTTGCCACTAGTTTTTATGTTGAATTATTTGAGAGATGTATGGAATTACTCATTGACCACATGAGGACAATTATCTGTTTGGTTCAATTACATTGAGTATATATAAGTATGTCTTGATCCTGCCTTGCCAATTGAAGATAACTTTTGTAGAGCAATTATGACAATCCTCAATATATTTAGACCTAAAGATATACCAAAAAGGAACGCTGTGAGTAATGGTTTAATGTCCTATAAAAATACATCTATAACAAGTTCAAAATTCTTCACAAAGCAGATGTCCATAGTGAAAGAGCTATATTGCTATCTTAGCAGTGCTGGGCTATGGTTCCCGCCTGCCTGATGCTGGCTAAGATTCTCACTTCCTATTTCCAAATCTAGCTTGGTGCCTCTCAACCTAGCCCACCTCTTAAACGAAGGAGCAAAAATGAAGTTCACTTGTGCTGAAGCTCATCTGAGGATTCCCAGGCTAAAAATTTAGAGATTCAAGCCAGGAGGTGATATTAGTCCTCTATTGACTCAGGAAACACCAGATAATCTTTAATGGTAGTACCTCTGTGTTTGCCACTGCTTCTGTTCCCTCTGACACAGACTTTTAGAGGAGATGCATTTGCCCAAAAATTTCACAGTGAACACTTACTATTTGCTCCTCTACTTCAGGGTACAAGGGCTCAGTTTCTTTCCCTAATGATAATTGTTCATAAACAAGACTATATTGATCATGACAACTCTTCAAATGTTGGATGTTTTTCTAGGTTAATTGTAATGACTCTGGTATCCTTGTAGCCCAATTTATGCCCTTCTTGCAACCACTTAAATCTTAGAAGTGATCTAATGTCAGGTTTAAATGGAAGCTCTATGTATTGGAACAGATAATCAGGAATGTGGACTAACCAAATAGAGGCATTATATAAAACTGTATGCAGAATGACAGTATCATGAGGAAATTTTAGTTGTAACACCAATTTACATCTACTTTTTTATATTTCACATTAGCTAAATTACATTGAGAAATGCAAAGCTACCTCTTAAAAACAACTATATTTCATATATTTCCAAAGCAATGGCATCATATTCAGATCAGATCAAAGCCAAATGAATGTTACTCAGAGGCAGGAATCTTCATCAGAAACTTTAGATTCTCAGCTCCTGTTTTAATCCAGTACATGCGAAGTTGTAGCTCTATAATTAATTTATATTGTTACAGCATAAATTTAATATTAAATAATGTATTATTAATTATCAGACTATATAATTAAGATTGATTAAAAGCTTATAAGGAAAATAGCTCAATAAGAAAATATTTTATCATTTAATTATTGTCACGTAGAAATAAAATAATTTTTGGGCTGGGCGCAGTGGCTCACACCTGTAATCCCAACACTTTGGGAGGCTGAGGCGGGTGGATCACAAGGTCAAGAGATGGAGACCATCCTGGTCAACATGGTGAAACCCCATCTCTACTAAAAATACAAAAAATTAGCTGGGTATGGTGGCGCATGCCTGTAATCCCAGCTATTCAGGAGGCTGAGGCAGGAGAATTGCCTGAACCCAGGAGGCGGAGGTTGCAGTGAGCCGAGATCGCACCATTGCACTCCAGCCTGGGTAACAAGAGTGAAACTCCGTCTCAAATAATAATAATAATAATAATAATAATAATTTTTTTTTTTTTTTTTTTTTTTTTTTTTTTTTTTCGAGACAGAGTTTCACTGTCTCTTTCAATGGGTTGCTCACCGCAACCTCCGACTCCTGGGTTCAGGCAATTCTCCTGCCTCAGCCTCCTGAGTAGCTGGGATTACAGGCACGCGCCACCACGCCCAGCTAGTTTTTTGTATTTTTAGTAGAGACGGGGTTTCACCATGTTGACCAGGATGGTCTCGATCTCTCGACCTCGTGATCCACCCGCCTCGGCCTCCCAAAGTGCTGGGATTACAGGCTTGAGCCACCGCGCCCGGCAATAATAATAATTTTAAATGCATACAGCCTTATTTTGGGTAGGCCTTAGAGTGTTATTGAAGTTTAATGCTTGTTTCAAAGCTCCCTTTTAAAACTTTTTAAAGGCTAAGGCTAAGTTTCATATTGTAATATTCTCAAGTCTAACCAATGTCTTAATCTTTGCATGCAATTTTCCTCAGGGTTGCTCTATTAAATGCAATTCTTTTTCTTCCAGTAATTCGGACAAGATCTTTTGCTCTGCAGGGTGGTAAACTATTTTATTTGTAATAATTCAAATATAATGACCTTTTATGAAACACCTACTTTACCTACCTCATTGTATTTTTCAGATGATAGACTGATTTAACTCTATCTTCCCCACCAAGTTTTTAGCCCTAACAAATATAGCATAATATGGTTCAATCTCGGTTTGCAAATATATTCTACATCTAAGTCCTTTCCACTTTTCAATTTTGAACTCAAACTCTACCTCTTCCATAAAGATTCCTCTTTGATTTGAAACAATTATATCACTTGTATCTGAAATCCTACTGTACTTGTAAAAACACCCAAACACACACAAGTATACAGTGTCTCTATTTCAGTGACTAGAGGCCATGAAATTTGGATCCAAGTTGCTTTATAATTGTTTTATGTTTGCTAATTCCATTTCTCCAAAAAGAGTATAAGAAATAAATTTCTCGGCTGGGGGTGGTGGCTCAAACCTGCAATTTCAGCACTTTGGGAGACGGAGGTGAGCAGATCACTTGAGGTCAGGAGTTCGAGACCAGCCTGGCCAACATGGTGATACACCATCTCTACTAAAAATACAAAAATTAGCTGGGTGCAGCGGTGTGCACCTGTAATCCCAGCTACTTGTGAGGCTGAGGCGAGAGAATTGCTTCAAGCAGGGAGGCAGAGGTTGCAGTGAGCTGAAATTATGCCACTGTACTCCATCCTGGGCAACAGAGTGAGCCTCCACCTCAAAAGAAAGACAGAGAGAGAGAGACAGAGAGAGAGCGAGACAGAGAGGAAGGAAGGAAGGAGGGAGGGAGGGAGAGAGGGAGGGAGGGAGGGAAGGAAGGAAGGAAGTAACGAAGGAAGGAAGGAAGGAAGGAATTTCTCATGTAGTTCTACAGATCTCACAGTGTCTACCATACTCTTTCATTCATTCAACAAGTTCTATGTTCCCTATACATTAATCAATGTATTAGGCACTGAGTAGATAAAATACTATCCTGGTTGCAAGAACTCTCAAATCACATGGGATGGAAGGGTAAGAAAATAAGTAATTAGAAAAAAAGGTGAGTATGTTTCACCACTGTAGATAAATAGGAAACAATGGGTTGCTATGAAGCACTTAACTGGTAAAAAGAAATTATCTAAGACGAAACCTGAAGAATAACTAGGAGTTAGCAGATTAAAGGGAAGTGAGTGACACAATCAAAGAATCCCAGATTTGAAGTTCAAGTTCCCTAGAGCTGGCACTGAAAAGATATTTAAAAATCTGTTCAGCAAAGCTGTTTTTATACTTAGATGTGTTTCTGCCAACACAGATAACTTGATCTTCAAGCCTAGGCTTTTTGTATTTTTTTTTTTCAGGGCTTAAGGTGTTTTTTACTCTGACACAGGAAAAAATATCAACTTTGCTTATTTCTCTTCCCTATTTCCTTTTTTCTTTGAAAGCTTTGGCTGTGATAAGAGATATACAACAATCATGTAGTTAAATTGCTTCAGAAAACAGGAGCGTAATTAATTCCATTTAGCTGCCAACAAATGAGACAGCACAGGCCCTGAAAGAGAGAAACAGAAGAACAGCAGGAAGACACATTTCAGAGAAAGGAAGATGGAGAGATGACAAGAAGCTTGAGAGCAGCTTCCACAAAAGAGAAGGAATGACTGCACTAGGAGAGTAGATATTTTCTTCTTCCTAAATTAATTCTCAAGTCCCTAAGGACACAGATTAAGAATAGCCCTAACTCCCCACAGAAGCCACTGTATAATGACCACCTTTTCTTTTACACAGCACAGGGGTTTTGCTCAGCCATAGCAGCACCCTTATCTCATGCAGGGCTCAGAAAGAGGCAGTGGCATTTTCCTGCCCCGCTAGCTGCTAGCTACCTGGGTATGAAGAAAAAGCATTTAAAAGACACAGCTAACATAGATTGCAGTTTTCTAAGCCTGTGATTGTGAGTAGTGTACAAATCAATGGGCATCAAATAAATAAATGGCCTTGGCTCAAGGAAAAATATCTTACAGAAATTCAAATGGTCTCTTTAGACAGTTTGGGTAAATAATACCCTAAGCTATATTAGAAACCAGCTGATGATTTTTCATTCAAACTTCTTGACCTGAATTTCTTCACCTCTGTCAAGCTGTGTACGTTTTTAATATTAGATACCCTGTGGAAGTCAATGTTTGGTGGGTTAAAATTACAAACTATCTAATGCTTTAAAAAATCTTAGAGTTAGCCTTTTATTAAGAATGAGGACTTCCTATAGAGTCTATTATAATCCATTAGTTCAATGCTTTGACTGGACAAATTTAAGATTGTATCATTAATTATTCAGAGACATTCTATGATCAGGACAAAAAGATTGAAAACAAAATATTGATTCAATAAATCACATGGTATTTGGACTCAAAAAAGTAAAACTGAAACCAAAATATAAAACTGTATTCTCCAATGTTATTTCCAAATTAAAGGAAAGTAAGTGTTTCTTAGAATGTATCTGTACAACATGGTGTTAAATATAGATCTTAAAATTCACAGCCAGGTGTGGTGGTTCACACCTGTAATCGCAGCACTTTGGGAGGCCGAGACATGTGAATCACGAGGTCAGGAGTTCAAGACCAGCCTGGCCAACAGGGCGAAACCCCATCTCTACTAAAAATACAAAAATTAGTTGGGTCGTGCTGGCATGTGCCTGAGATCCCAGCTACTTGGGGGTCTGAGGCAGGAAAATAGCTTGAACTGGGGAAGCAGAAGTTGCAGTGAGCCAAGAATGTGCCACTGCACTCTGCACACTTTTTTTTTTTTTTTTTTTGAGATTGAGTCTCAAAAAAAAAATTTACATATGGCACTGGTTGGTTGTTAATTTTGACGTCTATAAAAACTCTGACCTTGTCTAGTTTCAGGGATTTATTATAAGCTATTTTTTCCTAAAAATCAAAAACTTTAGAATAAGTTACTTCATTCAAGTTTTATGAAATCAACATTGACTCCTCCTGAATATTGGAAATAATACTATGCTTGGGAGTCAGGGAGGTTGACAAGCATACAGAAAAACAGACATTTTATAAGTATTCACATCAAAAGACTAAAATTTATCTTAATCATCTTTTTAGTATGGCAACATATATTAAAAGGTGATTTAAATGATTCTGAATTAGAGTAGCAGTGAGTTTTCAATTTACTATAACAGGCTAGCAGCAGGCCAGAAGTCACTGTTAGTCAATATTTTTAAACACTGGTCTAATTATAACTAGGCCATGTGAACAGATGGGGAGTTGTCTTCAAGTGTAGCTGATCCATACTGTGGTGTGTTCTTCCTGTCCTATTTTAAGTCTTGGTCAAAACTGAAGGAAAATCACCTTGTATCAACTAAAATGTCCACTGCCTTTAAACTTAGCCTGGAGACTGATGAGACTAACTTGTTTATCAGCTGGGGTAACTGGGTTTAGAACTCCAATTCTAAAACATATGACCCAGAAAACGCCTTCCCCTTGATTTCTACAAATTCTTGTGGCTAAGTTCATTCTTCCCTTAATTCTCTGCCTTTCATTTTTGTGTGTTACCCTGTATCCGTCTGGACATCAAGCCCAGCTTATTTATCTAGTTTCCTCTCCCTTTCCAAAAATAAAATCATGTTGCATTTAATATTTCCTTTATTTTGTCATATAACTAAAGAAGTCACAAAAAGTCACATGGTACACTCACTGCCTTCCAACTGTCTCTTCACTTTACCTTATCTATTTCCCTCTAGGACAACTCTTGAAAAACCTCCATTTTCCTGGAATAAAACAATTCTTCCTGTACTCAGGATCCTTCAGGGTCTCAGATTCCATCCCAACAGCTTATCCAACTATTTACGAAAAAAAAAAAAAAAAAAAATCTTCCTTCCTCCTAGGAATTCTGGTAAACAAAATTTTAAAATTTCTCCATTTCACTTTTTTTGTGTGTGAGTGAGGGAGATTTCCATGAGGACCTTCTTAAGAGTGTCATACCTTATGAGAAAGTGTAGTGGTCATTAACTGACTCTGGAATCACTTTCACATGTTGGGCCTTGATCCTTTTATGGACACTCCATAATTTCAAAAAGTTTAGTTAAATGTTTATAGACAATGCTAGACATGGGGCCTGGGGTAGGGAATGTTCTGGGCATAAAGAAGAATAGACATTGTATAAGTATTTACAATAGAGTTTTAAATAGTTTGCAGGAAATAGAAAATAATATAATGGCATGAGTGGGGAAATTCTGCAGAAGGCTTAGTGAAACATAAAGAAAGGTGACACCCATTTTTCCTGTCCATGGACACTCAGAGGCTTCCAGCTCCTTCGAGCATTCGTGTTGCCCTGGGCCCATACTGTCATCTCTGGTGAGGTTAACAATTAGGTATCCCAGTGATCAAGCTGGGTGAGAAATAAAGCAACTTGCTAAATGAATAAGTTTATTTCAAAAGATGACTCTGGAGAAGAATGAATATTATAGCCTGCCTACAGTAAATTCACCTTTCCTAGAATTAAGATATTTAAGAATTTAAAATGACAGTATCCACATTACATAATTTCTTGATGATACCTGGAATACAAAATTATACAACCACTATTTCTTTCCCTATTCTTTCTCCCTACCTTCTTCCACAAACATTTATTAACACTGTAATAAGAATTGTGCTATGATATGAGGATAAAGAGATAAACGATAACTCTTTCCTTTAAAGGTTCAAAATCTAAAAAGGATTCAGGCATGTGGACACAACAAAGATTGCACACTTTGTACAAAGAGACGAGACAGAGTCTCATGAGAGCATATACTATAGCTATAGTAGGCAGACCAGCATTTGCTTTCTGAAAGAAGAGGCATCTGAGCCTGTTTTACAGGGTCAGTAGCTAGCTACTAAGGAAGAAAGAAAAGGGTGTTCCATGTAAAGGCGCCTAATGCAAAAGCATTAAAAGCACATGGTCTTTCTGGGGATATGCAAGTAATTGAGCGGTGGCTGAAGCAGTGTGGGTGTAGTATGCAGGGAAAGATAGCAGTGATACAACAGTGAGATAAGTGAGGTTTGCAAACATTAAAATCCTTGTTTCCTGAGGGCAGTGAGGAGTGATATGGTCAGAGTTGTGTTTAGTGAGGCCATGTTGGCAGTGATATAGATAATGGAGGAGAGAATTGATAAGTGAAACTGGAGTCGGTAGCCCAATTTGGAAACATAAAGTAATCCCGATGAGAAGAAAATCCAGATTCAATTAAGTCAGAGTCCAACTCATGCACACAAGACAAGGTAAGACTTTTCTCATAACATTCTCCCAGGGGAAATAAGACCTATTTGATACATGCAAGGTCATTGGGGCACCATGGCAGAGCCTCTTCCCTGCAGGTGATGGTAGTGGGTTTGGAAAGGAAGAAGTAAAGAATTAAGGAGGTAGGCAATATTAAACAGTAGAATAAACAGGTTGGTGGCTAGATGGAGAGGTCAAAAATAACACCCAAGTTTCTGTCTGCAGCAACTGGGTAGATGACGAAATATTCATACAGATAGGTTATATGCTGCAGAACAAGATCAGTCCTTGAAGTGTAATCTTGAGATATCCAAAAAGCAGTGACAGTAGGCAACTGGATACAGGATTTGGATGCTCCTTAGAGATCTGGCATGGAACTATAGGGAGTTCTGGGATGCAGGTAGTAGTCAAAGCCACAGATAAACTGAGATCAAATAGGGGAGTCAGTAACATGAGAGGAGGACATTTCCAATATCAAAAATATGGTTTTTAAGAACAAATACCCCCCCCTAAATAATAAGAATCATAGCAATAGAAACACTACAGGCTAACATCTTAGAGAAATGCACCCCTTTTCTTCTGTAGTTGAATTGGCTTTAAATTGTTTGGAAAGACTAGGTTTATAAAAGAAAATTGGTCACTATGGGAACAGGCTATTCAATATCAAACAGGCAGTTGACCACAAAAGTGGTAATTACTTAAGTTTTTTCTTTAATTATATGTTTTCATGGTTTTCAATAAGCATATACTCTTTCAGTCAGAAATTTGAAGTCAGTTAATGAGGTGGTGAGCCATAGCAATAACAGTAGTCTATAGCTATTCCTCCCAGGTTGCTTACTATCGGAGCACCCCAGACCTAGACCTTTCGTGACTTTAATACTCTGCATTTTATCGTTGTATACAACTTACCTAATTTTATATAGCCAGTCTAAATCTAAACAAAAAGTCACAAGAAATATCTCTATCTTTTCCTTCATGGCCAATCCCCTTAATGAAGAATGTATGGATTTCATGTCACTTAATTTTTTTCTCTAGGCTGCCATTAAAATCTAAAGTTATCCCAGAAAAAAATATATATCACATTTTAAGAAATATGTCATCAAAATCCTAAACAAAATTCATGTAAATTCTTGCGGTGTAAGTCTCTTGTCTGGTACATTATTCTACATTTTTAAACTTAGAATCTATTCATATTTAAATAGTAGTTGCGTCACTAACCTTATCCAAAAAAGCTTGTACTGCTGCTTCCTGATTCGCCATATAAGCAATGTATCTGTGTCTCCCAATGGAAGCAATTATCTGAGTCTCTTTTTCCAGAAGTTCACATAGAGCAGCTTTCCTTTCAGCTCCAGTGAAAGATTGGTTAATACATCTAAGTTCTTCTTGCCACCAGACTAGAGGAAAAACACAACAGACTCTTGAGTTTTTAAAATCCCATTTTTTATGATCACGTCCTGACGAGGAGTATATTATTTTTACATTGATTTAAATGAAAGTATATACAGATAGAATCATTTATATTGCACACCTGATGTGTGAAAAAAAATGACAAAATAGAAGCTGAGAGACTTAAAACAACAAAAGTAAAGTCAAACAAACAGAAGCCAAAGGAAAACAGTACAGATGATGTCAAATTATGTCTCCAAATGAGCATTCGTACTGCCTATCACTGACAAAAATATAACTTGGACTTTGTGGCAGTCATGAGCGTGCACTGTTCACATCTCCCTTCAAGAGAGTATCTGTCACAAAGGGTAAAGGTAATTCACAGTTCCAACTGCAGTAATTCAGAGCTACTGCCTTGCTGAAGCCAAGATCACACTGCCTACAAAGCTCTCAACAATGACCAGGCACCACGCAGGAGTCAGAGCCTGACTGCATCTGCCCAACAATGGACTTTTCTGTGGTCAGTCCTATCAGAGCCAACTGCCGGGTTGGCTTAGACTTCCTTAGAGCTAAGACTCTCCATACCCCATCTTCTTTCCTTCCCTCTCTCAACTGATGAGGTGTCAAATCTCACCTCAATCTGAAGATTTCCTTTGCCTTCCTCTGCTCCCTTTCCCCTTTATCTTCACTTCCAATTACATCCTGGTGTCTCCTTCCTCAATAACACAAATTGACATAGTTTGACATACAATTGTTGATTTCAGTCATGTCCTTCATTCACTTAGGTGCCATTTTCCATTTATTTACAAAACTCAAAATTATAGTCACAAATATTATAAAGTAATTGCATTTACTGTTTACTCAAACTAACGTATTACGTTATAATAGTATTTATGACATTTTAAAGCACTGGTTACTATCAACAAAAAATATGCTGCCCAAACTTAAATAAACCAGAATTTCTGAGCTCAGATACATGCATTTTACCAATTGTTCCATTTACTTTTTACATGTACTAAATTTGGAGAAGAAAAATCTTTCGTATCTCACGTTTCAAAAATGTCAACCTTATTTACATTAACAAAATAATAGGGTTGGAAAGAACTTAAGAAATTAAATCGCTCAACCCCACATTTAAGAAAGTATCCTTCTCTCAGAAGCTTGAACAGGTTTAATTTGCCCATCCTGGTTCTATTACTAGCCTGTGAGGCAACATGGCGACAGTCTGTTTCTTGGTCACATGGTATTCCTTTGGGTATGTGAAGGGAGCAATCACATCCCACTGATGTTTTATCTTCTCTAGGCATAAATATTTCTATTTCTTCAATCGTATATCATTTTATTCAGTTTCTATCCATCTAAGTCAAGCTCCTCTGATTTATCACAGTACCTCTTAAAATACGGCACACCAAATTTCTGTCAAGATAGGAGCTTCCATACAAACTACTACCTCCCCTCTCCTGTGTCACTGCTAAAAGGATAAAAGAAATATGAAAGATGGGAGAAAAGAGAGAGACCTGAATCAGTACTAAAAATCTGAAAGGAATTTATCCCTATGGTAGAAACCCTGGGGAATTTCTAAAAGATACAGTGCAGATACTACCAAATAAATGAAAGACTGTCAAAAAGGCACACAAATGTTGTTACCCAAACTTCTGCTTTATCATCTCAGAAAGTCAACATCATAGCAGAAGATGGGAAACCCCAAATACGTAACTCAGAACTAGAGAAAAAGGTAGCTTATCAAGCTATTTGACAGTGTACCACACTTTAGGAAAGTCTTCAAAGAACTTTCAGAAGAATGCCTGACATTTCAAATCACTGCAGAAGTTCATAACAACTATAAGTTTACGCAAAAAAAAAAAATTGAATAGTGCAGAAAGCAAGATGAGAAAAGCAAAACAAAGCATAATAGTTATGCTTAAAATATGAAATAATTATACAGATATTTTTGTTGAAAATAAGACAATTTTATAAAATTCTAGTGACATGATGGTTTCACGGGGCACACTTGAAACAATGTGACACCAAAGTTAAAATATAAAAGGTCAGCAGATACGAACAAAAAAGAAAGCGGAAGTAGCAGTATGAAAACATGAAACTGGGGGGAGAACCTCAAAATTCAGGTCTTTTAGGTAGAAGGTAATTTTATGATGAAATGTCTGTCATGAATGTTTATATAGGAAATCATATGTCATCAAATATGTTTTTAAAAACTCCTATCAGTTATAAACACAATGTTGGGAGGTATACTTTATATTGCTAAAAACCAGATAAAATAGAAATGTATTAAACTATGACAGAGCCAAGTAAAAAATTAAAAGTATAAAATATTTGAACAATGCTTTTAAACATTAAATTGTCATACATCAAGCTCTGAACACCAAAAGCTGAAAATTTAAACTTATTTTCCAAGTTCAGTAAACCATTTATATAGATATATCATATTTGTAGAAGTAGAAAGCAGAAATGTTACAAACTACATTTTTACCGCAGAACAATTAAACTAGAACTAATAACAAAAGTTTAAATAGAAATATTCTACCTGCTTGTTAATTGAAGAAATCTCATCAAAAATAACAATTTAATCAAAGAAAAGAAAAAGTATAACACTATTAAGGGAAAAACACTACATGTCAAAATGCATAGGATCTAACAAAAATTTCAGCAAGGTAAACTTGGGGAAATTTGGCATAAATAATCCTCAAATGTCAAGCATGTACCTGTCAAAAGTAGGAGGGATTTATAAAAAGCTGTAATGTTTGTAATAACCAACCACAATTCTTTAGGGATAATTAATATAATTAGAAACTATACTTGACTTCTAATAAAATTTCAGGTTTACTTTAAATTCTGTCTCTGTGCACTAGATGATAAATACCTGAGGCCGTTAAGTATTGTATCTGGTCACTGCCTTTCATAACATCTAGTTTTATAGGTCAAATGACCTCAGCTTCCACCACAGGACTAGAAGAGGAGTAAACGGAACCGAAGATAAGCATAATGAAGGAAATACACAACAATAGAAATCAACAAAATAGAACAGAAAAAGAGTTGGAAAAATAAAACTGATAAATCCCTAGGCAGACTGATCAGGAAAAAAGGAAGAGACGCAAAATTACCAGTATCAGGAATTGAGATAATGACACTATAGATCCTACAGGTATTAAAAGGATAACATGGAACATTATTAACATCTTTATGCCAATAAATTCAACAACTCAGGTAAAATTAATAAATTCCTTTAAAGACATTAACTATCAAAGCCTATCCCCCAATGATAAATAAGTCACATTATTATTAAAGAAATTGAACTTACAGTTTAAACCTTCCCACAAAGAAAATTCCAGACCTAGTCGGTGTCACTGTTGAATTCCAAACATTTTATAAAAACATCCTACTAATTCTACACAAACTGTTTTAGAAAATTGAAGAGTACAGAAGAGACTAGCATTATCCTAATACCAAAACCAGACAGTAACATAACAAAGAAAAAAAAAATCACCAATATCCCTTATGAATATAGATGTTAAAATTCTAACACAAATTTTGGCAAATTAAGTTCGACCATATATAAAGATAAGGCCCGTTGTGGGGAAATGGGGGAGGGACGGGGGGAGGTGGGAAGGTGGGAAGAGATAGCATGGGGAGAAATGACAGATACAGGTGAGGGGACGGAAGGCAGCAAACCACACTGCCATGTGTGTACCTATGCAATAATCTTTCATGTTCTTCACATGTACCCCAAAACCTAAAATGCAATAAAAAAAAAAGATAAGTCAATAACAGGATGTGGGGCCTCTAGAGATGTAATTAGGTAATGAGGGTGGAACTGGGATTATGGCCCTTATTAAATAAACTCAAGAAAGCTCTTCATCCCTTCCGCTATTTGAGATCACAGTGAGAAGGCATCATCTATGAACCATCTCCAGACACTGAGTCTGCTGCTGCCCTGACCTTGGACTTCCTGGACTCCAAAACTCTAAAAAATAAATTTCTGTTATTTATGTCTATGGTATTTTGTTACAATATCCCAAATAGATTGCAATCTTAACAAAAGATGCAAAGGCAATACAATGGAGAAATGAGTGTTTTCAACAAATGCTATAGGAACAACTGGATGTTCAAAAGAAAAAGTTTAAAAATTCACCTTAACACATATCTCACATTTCATATAAAATTTATTTCAAACTGGATGATATATCTAAGTTCAAAATATAATACTATAAAACTTCCAGAACACATAGGAGAAAAGCTGTGTGACCTTAAGTTTGGGGATGAGTTTTCAGATATAACACCAAACACACAATTCACACAAGAAGAAACAAACAGGACTTACTGAAATTAAAAACTTTTGTTCTAACAAAGACACTGTTAAAAGAATAAAAGGACATACCAAAGACTGAAAGAATGGAAAACAGCCTGAAGACTGTGGGGAGGGGTAGATCCCGTGAACAGGCTCTCATCTCTCAGTTCTCCTCACCGCTAGGGGTTGTTTCTCCTCTGTATTTCTTTGGGAGATGAGTCAGTGGGAAGAGCAGTTCTTACTTGGCTGGATAAACCCCCACTCTCCAGGCTTGTCAGATGATTCAAACTCACCATTCTGAGGCTCTTGAGCTGAACCCCTCCTCCTGCAACTCCCCTGACCCGACAGATGTATTTGCACTCCAGGTAGCCACTTAGGAGTAATCCAGCTGTTCACTTCAAGCTTCTTTCTGACAAGATGCCTTCATTTCTATAGCTGGCCCTCTAAAACATGACCAAGAGCACCTCAAATTACCCTGTTGCATGCTTACTCTCTCTTGTTTTCTCTACTGTATAGTCCCCTTTTGATAGAAAACAAAGATATATCTCTGGTTTTAAAATCCTAGGAGTAAAGAATGCAGCAGCACTCTCCAATATCAAAGAAGTCTAAAAGCCCTCGTCTAGTTCTCTAGGTTTCCTAGGTTGGAGTCAGACCCCAATCTACGATCCTGGTGAAGGTTCAGACACCAATCTTCCTTGTCCCCCAAACACAGGGAACATTTCAAACCTCCTCAGGAGTACTTACTTCCTTGAAGCTCCTCTCACTAGGCATTTGGTCAGAAAATAGCACAACCTACCCACCCCAACCCCAAAGCATAAGAATGGCTCTCTCCAGAAAAAAAACCACTTTCCTAACCTCTTTAAATCTCTCCTAGCCCTTCTTATATCTTTTATCTTGCTAAGTGATGCATGAGCCAAGAATAGGTCCTATTTTACTTCCTTTGTAAATTCTTTATCAGGGAGAGACAGACTGTCTCTCACTGACTCTGGAATCTTGATATCTCACCTACTGGAGCCTCAGTTGAAAATAAGACAAGGTGACAGCACCCTCCAGTACGGCAACAATGAAAAAGACAGAAGTGTCTAGTGTTGGAGTGGATGACAGAGCAATTAAAATTCTCATACCCTTCTGCAGAAGTTTAAAATGGTGCAACCTCTAAAATACTATCTGGCAGGATTCACTAAAGCTGAATTATGTATATCCTATGAACCACCCATTCCACTGCTAGGTCTACACCCTGAGAGAAGTGTGTGTGTGTATGTGTGTGTGTGTGTGTGTGTGTGTGTGTGTGTCTACAAGTAGTACTGCTACAAACATCTTTTGGTGAAATATATATATATATTATTTATATATAATATATAAATGTATGTAGGTATAATATATATGTATTTATATTTATAAATACATATATATTATACTTATATTTTATTTATATTTAAATTAATAAATATAACATTTGTTTATATTTATAATTTATTTGAATATTTAAGTTATATTTTTATTTTATATTTTATATATTTATTTTTATTTTATATTTTGTATTATATATATTTAATAAATAAACAAATATATATATAAAAATTCACCGAAGTGTACTACTTATATTTGCCAAAAACTGGTTGAGGGGCGAGGGGCGGTGCAGGAAGAACCAAATCCATGGTAAAATGGATATATAAGTTGTGGCACACCTAAGCAATAGCATACTATACAGAAACGAGAAGAAAGGGCACTACACACAGTAGCACGGATCGGTCTCATGACATATACTGAATTCTGAAAAACAGACACAAAAATTTCTATTCTGCATAATCCTACCCATATAAAATGTTTAAATAGATAAAACAACTCCAGTTATTGCAGGCTGTATTTAGAATATGGGATAATTAGCACCTTTTTTTCCAACTAATGGCCCTAGAGACAATTCAGAACAATGAAAGAGATCACCCTCGACATATGGCTATAAAAAGACATAACAATCAAATATTTTTGCCTGGAGATAGCCTCATCTTTGACATATTACCTTATACAGTTAAATTTGTTTTCTTAAACTGATATCATTTTGCTTTTATTACAGAAGAACAGGTTACCTTGAGGAAAAGTTGTTTCATTATTATGGATACAAGTATCATTAGCAGCCACAAGAGGGCAGCAGTTCCAAGGAACAGAGTAATGAACATGAAATGAAGAAAATTACAGAAGAGCAATAAAAATTACCGAGCTTGTGAACCGCAGATTTTTTTTTTTAACAGAACTTAAAAACTATTATTCCAAGGCTTTTAATTTAGAATTTTAGGACTAGAAAACCCCAAAAGATGTCCCTTTTATGTAAGAAACTTCATGTATTTCATTGTCCTTTATGTATAAATCATATGTAGACTTATATAAACTATAACCATTCTACTTTACTATGAAAATTCTGTATAAAATCATTTGCCATAGAACAACAGCTCACATATGTGTAGGTCCATATACTTTTTAAGATATTTTCATAAATGTAATATTTTATACTTTTTATTCTATTAAGCCTTCTGAAGTAGTCATGCCAGAAATTAATTTCTTTTTATGGATGAAGAAAGTGAGGTTTAGGAGACATGAGTAACTTGTCCTAATTAACACCACTAATAAGTAGAAAAGGCAGAAGCTCATTCAACATATTTTCTATTATTTTACACAGCTCTCTTAACCAAACAAAAATAACAATGGTATCCTTTACTCACATATGAATTTGGAATATTATTCAAGAAGGGGAATGGTGAATCTACTGCCTGAGTAAAGAGGGCCTGGCTTGTTCAAATATCAGAAACTTTTAATTTATCCATGACTAGCACACATACTGTGGAAGAAATAAGGTATGAAAGTCAAGATGTATGAATATACATTTATATATTGTTATTAGTAAGGGGGAATTTTAAAAATATGGCCAAGCCCCTTCTCTAAATAGCAAAATCAGACAGGACACTGGATTAAGGGATTAAAGAACAGCTCAACTCTGAGTTCACAAATTCCCCAAACCACAAGAAAACCAGATTAGACAGTACTTTCTCTCTTTATCTCACATGGATGAGGACCAAATGAAATAATATGCTAAAACTGCATAATTCACAAAGCAGTATGAAGATTTTGTTAACTGTTAATATAAAAGCATTTCTAATTTCATTTCAGTCTTAATTCTTACTCCAAATATAAAGCGGAATTCACCTTTCAAAATTCTCTAGTCCAGATTTCCAAGACAACTCCCTAAAATAACACCTTCTTTTGTCTGCAGTAAATCTGTTTTTCCTACTAATGAAAAATTTAAAAATATTTTTTGCAAAGCCTATGTCAGACTTACATTCTAATGCATTATAAAGTAATTCAAAATCTTCATTTGTTTTAGGATTATGCCTCCGATCATAGTCCAATTTTATCCATTCTTCTTTTTCTCTTATCTTCCTTAGTTCTTCCTGTCTTTCCCATTCCAACCTTAATCTTTTCTGTCTTCTTACCTTCTCTACGAAGGTTTTAGCATGCCATTGCCTGAAGTAAGTCTGTATCACTATCACCTAAAATTAAAAGGAAATAGAAAGTGTCTATCATCAACTTTTTGATCAGATAATAAAGGCAACGATGATTATTTCAATTTCAATTCCACAACAACAAAATACTGAGTCTAGTTTTAGCTCTAGACTAAATTGATCTTTTCACATACAGTAACATAAAAAACATGGATAATGCACATCACTGCTATTTGGCTTTGAAATCTCACAAAGACACCTTCATAGAAGGATGTTTGTACAATCCTTAATAGAATAGACTCCGGAGTAAAACTTAGTTTGAATCTTCCTGCTGCTGTTCACCAGTTTGATTTGGGATAAGTTAGCTGCCGTCCTATGCTTTAGTACCCTCATGTATAAAACAGTGACAAAAAGAGTATACATATAAAGTGCTTAACCCAAGCCTGGTACAATACTATTATTGTTATAAATATTAATTATCACCATCTTATCTTAAATGCCACTAGCTCATGTTTATAACAAAACTGTATTTCCTAAATATACATCAGGTAAGTAAGTGTGGAAACCACCAAAGGCAGGTTAGATAAAATGGAGACTAAAGCCAACACGTATTTATTAAATTGTATGAAATATGAATACGTTTGAAAGTACAGCATAGTACTAAACCCTCAAAAAGTCTGTGATATACCTGAGTTTATCATTTTTGAGAGTTTATAATTTTATTTATTAAACTCATAAATAAAGTGTGAAGAAGCCAGATCAAGACAGATGATAGAGCACATGCTGATGCATCCCTTACTCTCATCCTAATGCCTAATAATCATAGAAAAACTGTGTAAAGTGGGTATCAACAAAGATACTGGATCAAACTGAAGGGATCCCCTAAAGGAATTAGAAACTTTGAAAAATCCCTTCAACACAAGAGGCTGGTAGAATTCATTGAAGAAAGAGTCTATAATTTAATCATACACTGGAGAAGCAAGTCAGAAAATACAGAAGGGTCTCCAGGACTGCTCTAAGCCCAAAACTGATAGATGGTCTGAGCAGAATGGCAACTAACCAGGTGACTGCTTAAAAAATGCAAAAGGGATAGGCTCCTCTAAAATAATTAGGCAAGGATCAACAGAGATATCTGCCCCTAGGCAAGAGCGGTGAATGTCACAGCAGGTGATACCCAGGATGAAAAAAAAGGCCCCCTATCCGGAAAACTAGCTTTCTTCCATAATCAAGCTGTACACATCCCCTAAAATCACTGGGGTCAGACTGGGTCAACAAATATGCCGTTGGCACATTGGACATTAAGAATCTCAAACATGTCAGCAGCATCTAGAAAATTATTAGCAATGCAAATTTTCAGGCCCCACCCCAGAGCTATTGATCAGGAACTCCTGGGGAAGCAGAGCATTCTAAATATTCAGAAGCCCTCTAGATGATGCTTACACTAAAGCGTAACTACTTTAGTAGTTAACTTTACTAGAACTACTACTAGAGTAAATCAAAACAAAATACAAAAGCAGACTAGATATAGTTAATATTTTCATAGAGAAAGGAAAGGCTATCAAAATAAAATAATATAATGAACCAAGAAAAATGACTGGCAAAATTTTTATTTTTGAAATTTAAAAAATTAATAGAATATGTTATTAGCCTGTGTGCTATTAAACCTGTTAAACTTATTTAAAACACCAAAACAAAGTTGTTTCAACAACACAGAAGTTTTTTCTCTTTCACGTGGCAATTCAGGGATTAGCAAAGCAGTTTCGGGCTGGTGGGAAAACTCTGTCATATTCAACAAATGGCTTCCTACTTCTGTGTCCCAGACGGCTGGTCCACTTACCACCTTCCAACCAGTAAACAGAGGGAAAAGGAACAAAGAGCAGTTTTAGAACGATTGTCCCTCGTATCTCATTGTACAGATCTTAGTTATATGGCCTCACTGATACACAAGGGAGGTGATGAAATGTGGTCATCAGTGAGGCAGCCATGTGCTCAGATAAAGCTTTACTACAACAGAAGGGAAAAATGGGTATTGATAGAGTTTCTCGTAAGCTGATCTGCAGAATGTGCAGAAGCTAAAAAGTAATAAGTAGGCAAGAAAATTAGGTGAGAAAATTTTTTAGGACAGAGTCATAAAATTTAAATGAATGCATGAAAAATAAGAGACATGAAAGATAATCCAAGCCATGTAAAATGTTTCTTTCTTTTTTTTTTTTTCTTTTTTTTTTTTTAAGGCAGAGGCTCACTCTGTCGCCCAGGCTAGAGTGCAGCGGCACGATCTCAGCTCTCTGCAGCCTCTGCCTTCTGGGTTCAGGTGATTCTCATGCTGGGACCACAGGCACATGCCACTATGCCTGGCTAATTCTTACATTTTTACTAGAGACAGGGTTTCACCCTGTTGCCGAGCTTGGTCTCCAACTCCTGGCCTCAAGTGATCTGTCCATCTCAGCATCCCAAAGTAGTGGGATTACAAGTATGAGCCACCATGTCTGGCCTCATTCCAAAATATTTCTGAAATAAGTACCAGACAAAATGAGGAAAGTTGATTACAGAAATTCATCAAAACATAATAGAGGAATATTTCCCACAGCAAGACATGAACTCTCAGAAAGGGTCCATCACCAAGTCTCAAGCATATTAATATAAGATTACCAAATACCAAGGATAAAGTGAAAATCCTGACCGCTTCTAGAAAGAGGAAACAAAGAAAGGAGGGGGCAGGAAATGAAGAAAAGCTTAGTAAGGTTCTTGACTTATTCACGGAGAAGATATATAGCCTGATTAGATATGCACTTAGTATAAAAATTTAGTTCTGTTAAAAAATGTGTATGAGTAACTATCAGAGGCGTGCGTACCAGGGCAACTCCACCTTGAATAGGAGCTCGGTAAAATGAGTCTGAAAACTTATTGGGCCGCATTCCCAGACAGTTAAGGCATTGTAAGCCTTAGGATAGGAGGTCTGCACAAGATACAGGTCATAAAGACCTCACTGATAAAACAGATTGCAGTAAAGAAGCCGGCTAAATCCCATCAAAACCAAGATGGTGATGAGAATGATCACTGGTCATCCTCACTGCTACACTCCCACCAGCGCCAAGACATTTGTTTCCAAATGCCATGGGAACATCAGGAAGTTACTCTATATGGCATAAAAAGGAGAGGCATGAATAATCCACACCTTGTTTAGCATATTACCAAGAAATAACCATAAAAATGGGCAACCAGCAGCCCTCAGGTCTGCTCTGTCTATGGAGTAGACATTCTTTTGTTCCTTTACTTTCTTAATAAACTTGCTTTTACTCAGTGGACTTGCCCTGAATTAGTACTTGTGCCAGATCCAAGAACCCTCTCTTGGGTTCCGGATTGGGACCCTTTTCTGTAATATAACCACTAGAAAATAAAATACTTATTTCTGAACTGTGAAAGAACAAAAAAAAAGAAACATTTAATCAACAAAAAGAAAAGGCTAAAGAAATTAAATAAGAATAATTAGTAAATAAAACAAGATGAAATGGCAATAATGAGTCCAGAAATATCAGTAGTCAAACATATTATCTTTCTTGAAACAAGATTTAAAATAGTAAGCAGTGAATTCAAAACCTATTAAAAAATAAAATAAACATGACCCAAGTAGAAAGGAATCAAAGTTAAAAGAACTTATTAAATGGAAATGTACTAACTGTACAGGTTTTTAACAAATCCCTGTGTTTACAGGTCACACCTCACTTCTACCTCCCACAAAATAATCAATTCACCTTGCAAGACTATGGGGCAAATCTATTTGGTTCTTGATGCCATGCTTCTTGGCAGGCATTTAGATTTTCACTTCCTCTGCTCTAGTAAGTCAAGTTAACACTTCTCCATCTGCTTCAAAAAAAAAAAATACTGACATTTACTCTTCTCATGTATTCTTTGTCCTTGTATATTTATACTTTTAATATCATTTTTAAGAGTTTGGAAAATGACAAAAATTTCCATTTCCTTACCTAATACCCATTCTCCCTTACTTCCTCTTACTAAGAAGATCTGAATCTTTCTGAGGAGCAATATTATGCTACTTTAAAAATTCATTTAGCACACACTTTTGTAATAGGGATAGTCATATGACATAGTTCAAGCCAAAGAGATGCAAGGAGAAGTCACTGGGTGGGGCTCTCTGGGGAAATCCTTGAAGGTGGCATTCATGGAACATGCTGCCTTGACTTTTCCCTTCTTCTCACATGGAATGCAGACATGATGAAAATTAGTCAACCACTTTATCTTCATACAGTAACAAGCTCATAGTGAGTTTAATGGATCAGAAAGATGAAAGGAGTTTATGATCCTGATAACATCATAGAGTCTCCACCCATTCCCAGTATAGTAAGAAAGTAAAAATTAATTTAGACTGAGAAAGTAAAAAATCATGAGGCTGTAATAACAGGCACTAATAAGGTCAGCCACAAAATTAAGAAAAAACAGTATTTCTCTCAAGGACACTCTGCAACTATGAAATGTCTTAACCATCCTATTCTTTGAGTGACTACTATTTTCTTACTCACTGAGAACCTTTGTTCTCTAAATTCATAAACTATCAGAAACTTTGCTGTTTGAAATTAGATCAGTAAGAAATATTCCACTCTTGCCTAGAGGTTCTACATCATTTTGACAGAGAAAAGCAGCCTCAATTTACAACCCAGGCACTGAACTTCAGAGAACTTCAAAGAAACATTTTAACTTTGTTTTCAAGGGAACATGACCTTGATCCACTTCCCAGTCCAGACCTGATATTGACCCATTCATACATACCCGTGTTTTGCTTGAGACTATTAGGATATTGTTTCACTTAAATCCCCCCCAAACTTCACTCTTCCCCAAATTCTATAATAACTCCACATATTCCTTTATTTGGAGAAAATTAGTTTGGACTGAAATATCAGACTGGAGTAACTGGCACTGATAAAGCCTGCTACAAAGTTAGCCCCATGGTTCCCCTGGTATACTCTCTCCTTCAGGGCAATTAAGTCAACAGACTTAACTTTCTTTCACTGCAAGTTTGTCTCTAAAGGTCTTGGGCTGAATAGCCTAGCTCCAGATTTCTTGTCATTTGAAAAGCAAAATCTCTTAAAGTCACTGCTTTCAGGTCATTTTGACTCACAGTAAAATGATGGTAGGAGGTAGATCAAATAGGTTGAAAGTAAAAGAATCAAAAAGGATAGACCATGCAAAAAAAACAGAGTTGGAAGGGCTATGCTAATATTAGAGAAAATGGACTACTGTCCCTTTGGTTTCAATTAGTCTGGAACGTTCCCTTGGTGATTCTACTGTGACAAGAGTTAAGGCCAAGAGACAGCAGTGTTGAGAAGGATAATAATGGCCAAACGCAATACACAAAGACACAAAGCAGCTGGGTTTCTCTAAGAGAAAAGGAAGGATTAGGAGCATTTAGGATTTTGATTCTTTACATGGGGGAACACCAGAGATAAAGCCTGCTTCTGTTAGCAGTGAAACATGACCCATACTCATGAGCATTCTTTCTCAAGCAAATGCAGCTTGGAGAAACAGACACATTCAGAACAACTGGCTTATATATCAAATTTTTAGTATTCATCCACAATAAAGGTTATCTTACCGCCTTCAGTCTTTGAGCATGGTATTCTGCTGCTGAAAAATACTTTCCGGGTGTTACCAGTTTATCAGTCATATTTGATACATATACACCAATGTTAGTCATCTGTGTAGATGCTGTATTTGTAGTCTGTTGGAGCTTATTTTTCTCAAAAATTGTCTAAAAGAAAAACATTAAAAATTTAAATAAGGATCCCCTATATTACACACATTAGGGGGTTTTTCTACATATTTAATTTTCTTTATTAATTGCCATATAATTACTTAAGAGAAATTTGAGAGAGTCATACAGTACAACAGTTATTGAGTCTATAGCTTCAAAAATCTAAAGGAAAAAAATAATATATTACCTGTGTATCCCTACAAAATACACTGGATCTTTCAGGAATCTTTCTAGGTATGGTTTGTGTTCCAGCATTGTGATACTCTACTCCTGTTATTTTATGTCTGAATCCACCAAGAAATGGTTTGTGAAAGTCAGATTTGACAATCTCAACAGTTACCTCCTGGTATTGATCAATGCCTGAGAGATAAAACCAACAGGAATGAAAGTTCAACTAAGAAGGGACTCAAAAATACTTTCTCTAAAAGACATCAAATAACTAACCAGTTTGGACAGTGACAGTTATGATTTGACAGACATCAGTTAATCCAACTATTCTTTTGACTGGATACTGATCTGGATTTGCAGAAAAGATTTCCACTTGTGCAATTTCCTGTGGCTTAACTCCATGTTGTACTAGAGTCTCATTATTTTTAAGAATTTTTCCTAAAAAAAATGAAATAAAAAATTTTAAAGTTTTATGACAAAGAAATGGCTATTCATTGATTTTATTTTTTGTTTTGTAATTGACAAATAAAAATTGTATATTGCGTACAACATGTTTTGACTATATATACATTGTGAAGTGGCTAAATAAAGCCATTAAATTGTCCATTACCTCATATACTTACCATTTTGGGTAACACTTAATATCTATTTTCTTAGCAATTTTCAAATATGTAATAATTATTATTAATTATAGTCACCATTTCTAGAAATGGCTGATTATAGTCTCATTTTAAGGAGATGGAAAAGATCAAAGGTGCTCATAGGAACACATATCATTTAATTATTAAATATAGTATGAATAGTTTCTATTAATAGTTTCTACCTCTTGCTCTGATGTTAGTAAAGAAAACTCCATAATACAGTTTTCATGGCATTCTTGAGCAAGGATTCATCATTATAAATAATGCTACATTATAAATAACTCTAAATTCATTAGGAATATAAATATATAATAACCATGAAACTCCATAAACATTTAAAAAATAAAAACATTCTATGGTATGAGCAGAATAATATGCTAAACATTCACTCTATTAAAAAAAAAAACCTGCAAAGTGTTAAATGTAAGTACAGGACATACCCATATCAAGAGGAAGGATAATTATTTTAATATCCACCCTATCCCCCATATTAGTTTGTTCTCACATTGCTATAAAAAAACTACCTTAGACTGCATAATTTATAAAGAAAAGGCATTTAGGCCATGTATGGTAGTTCATACCTGTAATACCAGCACTTTGGGAGGCAGAGATGAGCAGATCACTGTGGCCAAGAGTTCATAACCAGCCTGGCCAACATGGTGAAACTCCATCTCTGCTAAAAATACAAAACTGAGCCAGGCCAAGGTGGCACATGCCTGTAATCCTAGCTACTCAGAAGGCTGAGGCAAGAGAGAATTACTTAAATCAGGGAGGAAGAGGTTGCAGTGAGCCAAAATCACACCACTGAACTCAAGCTTGAGTAACAGAGCAAGTCTCTGTCTCAAAAAAATGAATAAAAAGAGGTTCAATTGGCTCACCATTCCACAAACTGTATAGGAAGCATGGCTGGGGAGGCCTTAGGAAAATGTGGCAGAAGGTGAAGAGGAATGAGGAACATCTTACATAGCTGGAGGAGGAGAAAGAGTATGAAGGAGGTGGTGCTATATACTTTTAAACAATCAGATCTTATGAGAACTCGCTATCGAGAAGAGAGCAAGGGGAAAATCCATCCCTACGATCCAATCACCTCCCATAGACCCCCTCCTCCAACACTGGGGATTACAATTCAACATGAGATTTGGGCAGGGACACAAATCCAAACTATATCATTCTGCCCCAGCCCCTCGCAAATCTCATGTCCTTCTCACATTGCAAAATACAATCATCTCTTCTCAACAGTCTCCCAAGTCTTAACTCATTTCAGCATTAACTCAAAAGTTCACAGACCAAAGTCTCATCAGAGGCAAGGCAAGTCCCTTCCACCTATGAGCCTATAAAATGAAAAAGAAGTTAGTTACTTCCAAGATACAATGGGGGCATAGGTGCTGGGTAAACATACCCATTCCAAAATGGAGAAATCAGCCAAAACAAAGGGGCTACAGGTCCCATACAAGTTCAAAACCCAGCAGGGCAATTATTGAATCTTAGAGCTCCAAATAATCTCCTTTGATTCCATGTCTCACATCCAGGCCACACTGATGCAAGGGGTGGGCTCACAAGGCCTTGGGAAGCTCTGCATCTGTGGCTCTGCCAGGCTCAGGTCAAATGGCTGCTCTCAAGAGCTGGCACTGAGTCCCTGCGGCTTTGCCAGGTGCACAGTACAAGCTGCTAATGGATCTACCATTCTGGAGTCTGGAAGATGGTGGCTCTCTTCTCATAACCCCACTGGGCAGTGCCACAGTGAGGACTCTGTGTGGGGGATCCAATCGTATATTTCCCCTCTGCACTGCCCTAGTAGAGGTCCTCTGTGAGGGCTCTGCTCCTGAAGCCAACTTCTGCCTGGACATCCAGACATTTCCATACATCCTCTGAAAACCAGGCTGGGGCTCCCAAGCCTCAACTCTTACCCTCTGTGTACCCATAGGCTTAATACCACATGGAAGCCACCAAGGCTTATGGTTTCCACCCTCTGGAGCAACAGCCTAAGACATATCTGGGATATGCCTTTTAGCCACAGCAGAAACGAGTGGCTGGGACATAGACAGAAGTGTCCTGAATGGTCCTGGGCCTGGCCCACAAAACCACTTTTCCCTCCTAACCCTCTAGGCCTGTGACAAAAAAGACTGCCATGAAGGTCTCTGAAATGGCTTTGAGGCATTTTCCCCATTGTCTTGGCCACTAACATTGGCTCCTCTTTACTTATGCAAATTTTACAGCCTGCTTTAATTCCTCCCTTGAAATAGGGTTTTTCTTTTCTGCCACATGGTCAGGCTACACATTTTCTAAACTTTTATGCTCAGCTTCCCTTTTAAATGTAAGTCCCAGTTTCAGATCATCTCTTTGCTCATACATATGATCATAAACTGTTATAACCAGCTAGGCCACATTTTGAAACACTGTTGCTTAGAAATTTCTCCCACCAGATACCCTAAATCATCACTTTGAAATTCAAAGTTCCTCAGATCCCTAGAGCAAGGATACAATGCTGCCAGTCTCTTTGCTAAAGCATAGCACATGTGTCCTTTACTCTGGTTCTCAATGAGTTCTTCATTTCCATCTAGACTACCGCAGTCTGGACTCCATTGTCCATATCACTATCAGCATTTTGGTCACAACAATTAACAAGTCTCTACTAAGTTCCAAACTTTCCCTCATCTTCCTGTCTTCTTCCAAGGCCTCCAAACTGTTCCAACTTCTGCCCATTACCCAGTTCCAAAGCTGCTTCCATATATTCAGATATATTTAGAGCAATGCCCAACTTCTCAGTATCAACTTTCTGTATTAGTCTGTTCTCACATTGCTATAAAGAACTACTTAAGACTAGGTACTTTATGAAGAAAAGAGGTTTAACTGGCTCAAAGTTCTATGGGTTGTAAGAAAGCATGGTTGCGGAGGCCTCAGGAAACACAATCACAGCAAAAGGTGAAGAAGAAGGAGGCACAGCTTACACGGCTGGAAAATGGGGAAGAGAGCAAAGGAGGAGGTGCTAAACACCTTTCCACTATTACAAAGAACAGCAAGGGGGAAATCTGCCCCCATGATCCAGTCACCTCACACAAGATGGAATACAATTGGGGAATACAATTCAACACTGGGGAAGGCAATTCAACATGAGATTTGCATGGGGACACAAATCCAAACCGTATCACCTCCAGCACAGAGAAGCATATATGCAGAATCACTTACGTTCTCTCTTTTCATACCCAGAAACTCACGTAAATTAATTCATGCCATGATGAAGGTAAGCCTCAGTTTTGTGCTAGAAAAAGTGTACATTGCTTAATTTTTATGATGCTATTGTTTTAACTTCTACTCACTCCTCCTCGATCTGCCCCTTCACTAGTGTACTCAGTAAACTGACTAATTTTCTTTCTCTATTTTAAGGCATACAAAAAAGTAATTATGTGACTGACTGCTGTTTTGTGTCATGGAAACTTTATTGATGGACTCTATATTAATCTTCAAATTTATGGCCCTTCTAAATTGCAGTTAGGAATGTGAACACAGCAAAAGCTTTACTCATTCAAATATATCAGACACCACTACAGTCTCCAACTTACAGTGATAATGGTTCAACTTAAAATTTTATGGCTTTATAATGATGCAAAAGCCACACACATTTAGTAGAAACTATGCTTTAAGTAACTGTACAATCATTCCGTTTTTCATTTTCAGTGCATTATGCAATAAATTATGTGAGATATTCAACACTTAAAAAATAGTCCTTATATTAAATAATTTTGCCCAATCATAGGCTAATGTAACTGTTCTGAGTATATTTAAGGTAGGTTAGGCTTACTAAATGCATTTTTTACATATGATGCTTTCAATTTATGATGGGTTTACTGAGACATGACTCAATAATAAGATGAGGAACATCTGTAGTCTATTTTGGCTATGTTCAAGAAAGCACATTCTAAGATCTCTGAGTTTCTATTTCACACCCTAAATTCTTCAGTTAAAAAATTAACATTTGGGCCAGCTGTGAGTCTCACGCCTGTAATCCCAGCACTTTGGGAGGCCAAGGCGGGCAGATCACAAGGTCAGGAGTTTGAGACCAGCCTGGCCAATAAAATGAAACCTTGTCTCTATCAAAAATACAAAAATTAGCCGGGCATGGTGGCACATGCCTGTAGTCCCAGCTACTCAGGAGGCTGAGGCAGGAGAATCACTTGAACCTGGGAGGCGGAGGTTACAGCGAGCCAAGATCACGCCACTGACTCCAGGCTAGGTGACAGAGCGAGACTCCATCTCAAAAAACATTAACATGAATGTTATATGGACCTTATGATAGGTTGAATAATGGCCCCAAGTATGTCTACATCCTAATCTCTAGGGCCTATGAATATGGAAAAAGTGGCTTTGCAGATTTGATTGAGAATTCTGAGCTGGAAAGATTTTCCTGGATTATCTGGCTGGGCCTTAAATGTAATCACAAGTCCCCTTATAAGAGGAAGGAAGAGGAAAATTGAATGACAGAGGAGAAGGCCATATGACAGAAGCAGAGAGAGATCTGAAGATGCTCCAGCTCTGGCTTTTAAAATGGAGGAAGGAGCTAATAAGCCAAGAAAAACAAGGAATGCAGCTCTAGAAGCTGGAAGGGCAAGGAAGCAGATTCTCTTTCAGAGCCCCCAGAGGGACAACAGCCCTGCAGACACCTTGATTTTATCTCAATGAAATTAATTTTGGATTTTTTTGCCTCCAGAACCATAAGCAAAATATATGTGGTGCTCTAAGCCACTAAGTTTGTGACTGTTAGAACAGCCACAGGAAAGCAATACAGGTTCCCAGAGCCCTGTTCATTTCTATACTTATTTCTGTAATGGGCTTACTCCCACCAAACTGGAGCTCAAGTTCCAGTACTAGCAAAAAGCACTTTAGAGGATGGCTGCCATAGAAGCAAGCTCTTTTGTAATTGCTGCTGGCATAAGCCTGTTACCCAGTGGTGATGCCTGGTACTTAAAGAAGAAAGGTCATGAAGTACAAAGAACAGAGAAATCCTTAAGTACCATTAGCTGGTTACTACAACCTCAAAGTACTCTCTCATCCAATTTTCAACTTCACCTTATAGTTAATGCCCAGCAGTTTCAAATTCCCTCTGGAGTCATACCTACATTTATGTTCAGACTCTGCCACTTACCAGTGTTGTGACTTTGCACAAGTTTCTTGAGTTTCAGCTTCCTTCTCCCAAAATAAAAGTTACTAGTAATTCCTACATCAAAAGGCTGTTGTGTGGATTAAATTATAACGTAGGCAAAACATTTTTGGAAGTACTAGCACACAGTATGTGCTCAATAAATTCATCACCAACACCAACAGTATGGTCATAATCATTACTACTAACAATTATTTAAATTTTAGCTTTTGTGTATTGAATCAAGTTTTAACAATCACTTCTCTGAACACATGTACATCTTACTTTTGGAGTACATTTACTATAATAGATTTTTTTAAATAATTTGGAAATTAAATTGTTTTTCTCTGGAAACTTTTAGTGGCATCTTTATAAGTCAATATCAAAACTGTTTAAACTAAAATATTAGGATCTGTTCAGGCATATTCTATAGAAGCACATATTTAGGTCTGTTAGTCTGGTAAACTGTAACAGTTAATAAAGGCTATATCCTCATATGACATGAGATTAATATAACTTCAGTGGGCTGTTCAATGTCATCCACAAAATATAAATATACTTCTCATCATGGAAATGAGAATTGACCTTAATGCACAGAATACTTATAAATCCTTTCCAGTCCTGTTCCTGTTCTATACAATCTCTTTCACCAACCATTTTTTCAATCACATCTCCACCTGCTACCCATATATAATATACTTCCAGCCTCTCAACACTACTTACCGCTTCTCAAAACTTCCACATTTTCTCACCTCTTTGTGACTTGGCACAAGTGTTATCACTTTAATTAAATGAAACTTTCTAGAATCTACTAAGTTCCTTCCCTTGTTCCCACAGCTTTTTGTGCATATTTCCGTGGAAGCGTTTACACGTTATGAGGCAGCTACTGCATGCATCCTCTTCCTTACTAGTCTAAATAATTTCAAAACAGGAATCTTATTTCATGTTTCTCTATATCTTCATTTCTTAAGTATCTAGAATAAAGTCCTTACTAAATGTGTGTTGAATGAGTGAATGCATAACCACAATATAATATTCAATGAGTACCAAGATATTTAGTTTTTAAAATCAAAGATCTTGATTGTTTACACACTAAAATTAGAAGTCTTGATATGTTTTATTAGCCTCCAAACTTACCTGAGTATCTTATCTGTAGTATAGAATGTGGGATACCTAATAAGTGTGAAAAGTGGTCCTTGAGATGTTTAAGAATGGTATCAACCTTAAAAGGCATTACAATTTCCTGGCCCACTGGAATAAGTACAACTTTTACTGTAAATTAAAAGAGAAAAGAAAGAATTACAGTCAAATATGGTCAGCAAACGACAGTCCACAAAAAGATACAGAACTGTGTGTTAATAATTACATAAAATGCAAGTTGTTCTTGCTAGTGTTTCCCTGCTGCACCCCAATGATAACAGCATGTTTTTAATTTTCTATAAGGAAAAGTGACCAACATTTAGTTGCTTTGAAAAATCAATCCATAATCTCAGAAATTAGCTCTCATATTCAATACCTGGCAATGTATTGTTCAGATATAAGCATAGGAAACCTCTCATAAATATCAGGCATTTTTGCATAGTGAATTTAGGAAAGAGAGACTTGAGACACAGAGGGTGTCCTGGAAGTTAGAAATGCAATATAACTACTTTTCACAGAGAAGGACATTATATGGCCCAAGCCCCTCTAGAAAAGAGAGAATCAAGATACTTACGTATTAAAAAATTTAAAAAGTCATTATAAAATGATTACCTGTTCACTAACATAGGAGGGAAATACAGTAAGTAAAAAGTAATTAATATGAGTAAATTATTTTATTTTACATCTATATACTTCAAATTTTAATGGAGAAGATGTAAGAAGATAAAGTATAGAATGCAGACTACATACCAAAAAAGTTCTGTGTATTTCTAGATGCCTGAAATTACAGTTTTCATAAAGCTAAATAAGACATTTTTATCAACAGCATGGCAACCTTTAAGTAGACACTGGTAAAGCTAAGGTCCTCTGCGCTTGTTAAAATTTGTTTTCACGGTTCTCTTTCAACAAAGAGAATATTTTCACAGATGGTAAACTATAAGAAGGCTATTGTAATTGTCTTATTGGTGCAAAAAACTATAATAAATTTCAAAATTTTAATAGTAGTTACTTCTTAAGCTTTTGGAAGTAGAAATGTGTTAAAGGATTTGTGAAGCTCAGGAGGAACAGAACCAAGAAAACAATTTTTTTTTTAAATCACCCTGTGTTTGTTATAAGTTACAATATCAGGGAATGACAGAAATACCCAAAAATGAAACTTAAATTTACATTAAATACTAAAATTGAAAGATAGCTGCTTCAGTCAGGTATAATTAGGCTTAGTTTTCTCTCCCTTCTTTTCATTCTTTACTTATATGGACACATTACACAAGGGTTAACTACTCCACTAGATTCAAAAGCTACATTTTACCAGCCAAACCAAGCTACTGTTATTGTTGTTGTTAAATCATAGTTCATGTTCTCCATTCTGTAGGCAGAAACACTCTCAAAACTCATGTACAAGGAGGAAAAGGAGCAGTCAGTTAAAGTAAGTAGAATGGTTCTCTGTGTAACCACATCATTGCTGCTGCCACTCTGCTGTTATTAAGAATGTAATAAAAACTACTATATGCCATCAACATTATTTTATGTCTTTAAAATTAACCTACAATGAAAAATCATGATTTTTCTAAAGTAGAATATAACTTAACACTAAAAAGAATATAGAAATACATAAAAGCAACATCATGTATAAAATGAGCGACCACTGGATACGAAACTAGAAAATCTGTTGTCAAGTTCCCATCTACCTCTTGCTATTTAGGTACAACGATTAATTCCAAATTGGCACGCAAAATAATTCCCATTTTAGTCAACAATTTCTCCATCATTTTCCAAGGTCCCTAAACATTTTTAAAACCCACTTTCCGGCCGGGCGCGGTGGCTCAAGCCTGTAATCCCAGCACTTTGGGAGGCCGAGGCGGGTGGATCACAAGGTCAAGAGATCGAGACCATCCTGGTCAACATGGTGAAACCCCGTCTCTACTAAAAATACAAAAAAAAATAGCTGGGCATGGTGGTGCGTGCCTGTAATCCCAGCTACTCAGGAGGCTGAGGCAGGAGAATTGCCTGAACCCAGGAGGCGGAGGTTGCGGTGAGCCAAGATCGCGCCATTGCACTCCAGCCTGGGTAACAAGAGCGAAACTCCGTCTCAAAAAAAAAAAAAAAAAAACCCACTTTCCTTGAAAAAAGTAAATAAATATCAATTTTTAACTTTAATGTTGGTCATTCATTGATGAAAAATAGATACTGCAGAATAGAGAGACTTTTATAAATAGTTAAGATAGTCAAGCAATGTAACTCTGGGAGTTTGGTGGATAAGGGAAAGGAATATAAAATATAAAACAAATCTTCAAGCAAAAATAAGCCAACAAGGAAAAGTAATCATTCTTCAAAACAAAAAAATGAAATAGCCTATCTTCCTTAGGTAATACCTGTTGCTAGAGAATCTTCCTTTGATTCTTGTAAAGACTCCTTTACAGCCTTTATTTTATCCAGAAATGCCAAACTATTATCATTTGGACTCTGCATTGCAAATTGCCTTTCATGATGTAGTGGAGTATATGAAACTTGTATTGGTGATACAACCTCTTCCATGAGTTGTTCGTTGTCTGGTTCCACACTTGAAAAGCTTTGGGCACTCTGCTCCTCAACGTGCATTGCACGGCTCTCATTGAATTGTTCTAGTCCAGATTCATGCTCTTCAGTTTGATCTGACTCTTGAGGCTCTTCTGGGGGAACTGGAACAGTGACGGTGTCAAAAGCATCATCAGTTTCTTCTGTTGAATCATCTATATTCTGAGCTTCATATTTATCCTCCTGACTAGACATTTTCCTGAATTAAGAAAAATAAACACGTTTACTACATAAAGTTTCTACACCAAAAATCAAATTTTTTGCTAGCATAGAGTAATATTCATAATATTCAAGTAAAATATTGCTCATTTAAAAATGTTTATTATCTCAGTAATGGCATCAGATTTTTTTTAAAAAAAAGCTTAAAAGAATAAATTTGACAGCAATACTCTGCAAATATATGGAAAAATATTTTAAAATCTCTTGTCATTTCTTCCTTATTTAATGAAGAATGCCTTGTGAAAAGACTTTTTGAATTATCTTTTTTTCTGAATACAAAACTGATTAAATGGATGCTTCTAGGATTACAAATGATTAGAAGCTCCAAGGAACCAGCCAGCTCTATAGCAAAGTGAACCCTGAATAGAATACACTTTTTGTAGTAACTCCGCTCTTATAAATTGTAGCAGAGGTGTGCAGTGACCTCTGCTCCCCCAAATATACCTATTACAACTGATATAGGTTAAGCTTGGAGCTGACTAGACCTACAGCTATGGCAACCAAGAACCTGGGTTTGGAGGACAAGACAACAGCATCTAAAAGCTTGGGCCAGGATAGTCCAGGGCATCCCAGAGCCAGGCTGCAGATGCAGGAGCTAAATCACAGAAGCAAATGGCCAATATAGCAGGGAGCCCATCTATAGAAGCCAGGAAGAGAAGATAGGGAAGATAGCCCCAAGATAAGATTTCTATGGCAAAGGCAAGGGCAAAATGACACCTTGAAACAGTAGTGAGGTGGAAAAGCTCTCTCTGGGCTTCTACTTTGAGCACAAATCTTTATGGAGAAAATAAATTCACCCATAGCCAGTGGAATTGTCTGGCTACTAGATTATACATTTTTTAAAATGGAAACATCTGCAATAAAAATATATAATTGTTGATGTCAGTGAATAAGCTGTATAAAATTAGAGAGAGTTGAAGAAAGAATTAGTAAACTGGAAGATAAATAAAATGATTTTATATACAATGATGCAAAGAGATAGAATATAAAAAAATATGAGACTAAAAGCAGGGAAAAGAAAGCCCCACATATTTTTGCTAAGCATATATTTTGTTGTGATTTTGTACTATATAACCAAAAAACAACAAAGAAGATGCATCAGAGACTACATGAGGTCTTTGCAGTCTAAAAATGACCTGTGAAAAGTCATTTTCATAAAGTGTTTGCCAGCTTCTAAACTAACATATGTTAAAATGGAGTCCCAAAAGCAAATAATAGAAAGATAGAGGAGAAAAAAATATTTGTTATGTATTATTTATTCTTTTTGAGACAGAGTCTTGCTCTGTCACCCAGGCTGGAGTGCAGTGGTCCAGTCTCAGCTCACTGCAACCTCCGCCTCCCAGTTTCAAGTGATACTCCTGCCTTAGCCTCCTGAGTAACTGGGACTACAGGCATGTGCCACCACACCCAGCTTATTTTTGTATTTTTAGTAGAGGCAGGGTTTTACCATGTTGGCCAGGCTTGTCTCAAAGTCCTAGCCTCAAGTGATTTGTCTGCCTCAGCCTCCCAAAGCGCTGGGATTACAGGTGTAAGTCATGATGCCCAGACAGGAAAAATATTTTAAAAGGTAATAGCTGAGAGATTTTCAAAACTGATAAAAGAATATGGATCCCCAGATCCAGGAAGCATAATATAAATATATACCAAACAGGTTAAATAAAAATAATTAGTAGCCATACACATTGTTATAAAATTACAGAGTATCAAAGACAAAGAAAACGTCCTGAAAGTACAGTGATAAAGAAAATATCTACTGTTTTGAATCATATTCATTTACTGACATTAACACAAAGAAGAGTAAAATCATTGCAGACTTATCAGAAAAATAGGAGCCAATGTAACAACAGGCTAACTGAAAGAAGATAACTATCAACCTAGAATTGTGCACCTAGCAAAACTAGCTCTCGAGAAAGAAAACAGAAGCATTTACAAGTTAGTTACTACGTTACCACCAAAATATTTGCCCTAAAGGAACTTCTAAAGAAAATACTCAAAGGAGGAAAATGATTTCAAAGGATGTCTGAAGTGCCACTCGGAAAAGTAAATGTGTAAAACCATAAACACATGTGTAAATCCAAACAAATACTGTCAATACAAAATGATAGTAAATTGAAATATTAGACAGTAATATGTAATTGGGAAGGGAAAAACCAACCTGTCTCAAATCCTTATTCTGTTTTGTTTTGTTTTTTTATAGATTTTGGGAGTTCAAGTACAGTGCAGTTTTGTTACATTAATATATTGGATAGTGGCAAAGTCTGGGCTTTTATTGTGACTGTCACCCAAATGGTATAAATGGTACCCAGTGAGTAACTTCTCATCCCTCATGCCCTTCCCATGCTCCCATTCTTTCATGTCTCCAATGTCTATTATTCCACTCTCTATGTTCATAACTGTAGATGTTATTTCACTCCTACTTATAAGTGAGAACATACAGTATTTGATTTTCTGTTTCTGAGTTATTTCACGTAAAATAATGGCCTCCCATTCCAAGCGGGATATATTCTTAACCCTAGACTTTGTTACTTAAATATGCATAGTTAAATCTCAACTACAGCAATCAAAAAACAAAAACACAGTTTTAAATCCTAAAGCAAATAGGAGGTGGAAAAAGTGAAATGAGAAAAAGGTGAACAATAGCTCAATTTTTAAAAAGGTCAAGAAACTTTTTTGGGCTCTCACCCGCACGCACACACACACACACATACACACAAACAAACAAACAAAACTTCATTTTGATGATTTTATCCTATAACAGAGCTTAGTGATCTGATTAGAAAGAGAGTATCAAAATGAAGGGCTAACTCCTGGCAACATACTCATCTACCTTCTTTGGAGAGTCTGAGGTAATGCTTTTGTTTCTAACTGAGGAGTCATCCTCACCCCAAACTGGCCAAAATGGTATCTTCTAAAAACAGCAATAGCAACAAAATCAAGAACTTCTGCTCTTCAGAAAACACAACTGGGAGAATAAAAAGACAAATCATAGACTGGAAGGTACTTTTCACAAAATGCATATCTGTTAAAGGACTTATACCCAGACTATATAGAGAATAATAAGAAAAAATGATATTTTAAAAGGGTAAATGATTTAAACAGACACTTCAGCAAAGAATACATATAGAAGGCAATGAAGCAAGGCCAGGCTGAGGTTGAGGCAAGAGAAGTGCCTGCACTGCTCTACACTTGTACTCGTGCCTGAAAATGAATGCCTCCTAGAATTTAGGGCCTAGGTGCATCATTTGCTTCACCCCTGTCTCAGTCCTGAGAACAAACACATAAAAAGAAGCTCAATATCATTAGTCATTATAAAAATGGAACTTCAAATCACAATGAGATAGTACTATCTACCTATTAGAATAATTAAAATAATATGATTAAAGCTCTCTAATAGCAAGTGCTAGTGAGTAAGTATAAAGGCAAGTGGTACACACAACAACATGGATGAAACCCAAATCATGCTCAAATTATGAAGAAGCCAACTCTACTAAGGCTGTGTACTATTGACTCTATATGATGAATCCTAGGGTTAGAAGATACACCAAAGCCTCAGGGCAAAGATGAGTTGACTACAGAAGGAAGTGGGGATTTTTTTATGTAATGGAAATATTCAAAATCTCATTTGTGGTAGTGGTTACATAAACTATATGTGTTTATTAAAATGCATAACACTCCAGACAAAAGAGGGTAAATTTTGTTGTTTCTAGATTATCACTTACCAGAAAGTTATAACAAAAAGTAAAAGCAACTAATGCTCCTTTCAGTAGGAAAAAAAAAAAAAGTATACTATTAAAACTAAGACTACAGGAATTTCAATAACAATAGCAATTACTGAAAACTGATGAGGCAGGGAAAAAGAACTGATCCCGGATGTAAGGTCAGAGGTACAGGAAATGATAAATAGCAAAGAAAGTGAAAATATATGGGTAAATATAAATGTACTTTGGCTGTATAAAAGTAATGTCACAAAGTCACACACACAGAGAAATACAAAATAATCATATGGCATATCTGTTGCGAGGGATTAAAATTATGAAAAGGGCATTTACCTTATCATAATTCATTAATCTGGGTATGTGTTTTATGTGGCTTTCTGACCTTGTGCTATACTTAACAATAAAGAACCTAACTAATAAAGAAGAGGAGGATGAAGTGCTCTATATGTTGACAAAAGTCACACTCCAAGATACATTAAGTGAGAAATAAGAATACATATTTGTGTTTGCTTCTATCTGGAAAAAGAAACATTCAGAAAAGCATGAAAGAAACTAAGAAAACAAGTTACCTGATGAGGGGCAAAGTGCATAGAAAGTAGCCAGAAGAAGGGTGGGCTCCAGAATTCTCAATGTATTAATATTTTCATGTTTAAACAATGTAAACTTATTACCTGTTTCAGAAATTATATACTAAGACATCATAGGCTAGTAGAGTAGGAAAAACACAAGATGGCTGGGAGAGTATGTGATCAAGAGTGCTAAAGCCTCTTTAGGAATAGGAACTAAGAATTATGACAGGTCTGAGATTTCATCCTACCGACAAGCTAACAATTTAGCCTGCCATAGTTTCATGAATGCTGTCAGAATAGGTAAGTCTCCTGGGTCAGAGACAAAGGACTTTATTACTCATGGCACAGCAGATAGCATGAGCTTTATATTCACATAGGATCCCTGTGCTCCCAAATCCCAGAAGGAAAATGTGGAATGGCCCAATTAGATGCTATACACACAGTGGGTTTGCACCACAGCTAAGGAACCCCAAGCTTAGAAACTCCAATCCTTTATAACGGACTGCAAGCAAATGTGCCCAACCTTTGCCTGAGAGGAAGACATTATTGTTATTATACTAGACAGATAAATCTGACCTCTGCTTTAGAAAGAGACCCTATATCTTTTAAGACTGTTCACTATACAAATATCCTTGAAAAGAAAATTCAAAACAAAGCTGTCAGTGTCTCTTAAGTAGAAATGCTAGAGAACCATG